GATGCGGGCGAGCATTCAATACAATTTTGATCGAAGTTTGTTTCCTTGAACAGATGAGAGTGAAGCGGTACTCATCTCTATTGGCAACCTTGAGGCAGTGGTGGCAATACCGCATTCCGATAGTCTTTCCATAGGAGGAGCACTGCTGACTTCCCACTAAATACTGTGCAGTTCTAATTCATTGACGACTTTATAAGTGTGGCGATTGTGTGAAGTCTACCCACAACCAGGTTTTATAACTTGCAACCTGATTGGAACACTTTCCACAGTGCAACCAAACTGGATCATTATTCCAAACCATAAATAGAACTTGTCTCCATGCCTAGGAAGGAGCCACATCCCTCTAGTAGTGTGCCCATTGAATATCTTGAGAGGCAGTCTCTTGGAGTGACGTTTCAAGCAACAAAAAGGGTGTTTGGCTGTGGATTTTAGGACGTGACATACTAAAAAGGTTGACATGTTTTTTTGATATTTAAAAATTATTTAAGTTCAGAGAACCTACGCCTACATAGGCTATAGAACACACCTCACTTTCGAGTTGCTTTTACTGTGCAAAGGAGAAATGTAACTGCCCCTCGGGGGGGAAGGTGTGGCAGAAGTGAATAAATGCTGTGTAGAACAGGTACAACGTTACAGTACAGGACAGTAGAGGTGTTATAATTGCCATTTAATGTACTTTTAGTAACATTGTACAACTATTGTTTTGTGGTTTGTGTAAATCGAATACACTTGGTGTTGATACAAGTTAAATCCATATCGGGAATATGCAGCTGGGTGTGGTCCTGTGGGTTCAATTCATGGTCAGGAGTTGACTTAGCCCATCATAAAAAGCCAAAAGTGCTCGACCTATGGAGAAACTGCATAATTCCTGATTAGAAATGTGGAATATCTTCTATTGGCTCAGGAGCTGCCAATATGAAAACCACTCCATGGTAATGTGAGCAGGAAGTCACTTGACTGAGTTCATATATAAATTACCGTGAAAAACAATACAATATGTAACTACAACTTTCACAATTCACACAACATACTGCAATATTATATTCATATTAAGCAAGCATAGTGTGCCAAAGACCACTAGAGATGTCCTGTCACGTGAAATAGGAGGGACATTTGATGCTCAGACAGGGATGGGTAATTTCTGGCCTTAAGGGCTGGGTTGGTCCATGCTTTCACATCAATAATCCCCCATTCATGATACACTTTGTTCCACTTTAAATGTGAATAGAGTTTGGTTGGCATGAAAATATGTACTGGTTTCAGACCATAAGGCCTGAAAATTAATCAATTTAAACACATTTTAATATATTTGAAGCACAGGCACTGAGTCAATTTTGTGAAAGTCCAATATCCAAAGAGTAGTCACCTTGAAATTCTAAAGTGAACATTAAAAACCCTCAACGCTTTTTGCAAGAGTAGGCGAATGTGTGCCAGGGTGGCCCTAATATCCAACTTGAAAAGACTACATACAGTACTGATCAAGATTTAAATGGTCGCTTCAAAAGAACACTGCCTGAGAAACATTGGTACTCTTATTCTGCCCCCTGCTGTCAATAAAAGAAATACAATCGTTGCTTTCGTACCACATACAATACGTACAAAAAAATAACCAATTCCATATCTTGTGACACGTACATAAGCATCACACGATGCTTGTACTTGTCTCTCGAAATACCCTTAGGCATGTGTAATGAGTTGCAGCAACATATTAAGAGATACATGTTGATCACTTAAGTACATACCTGTCAACACCTTATCAGTGCCTACCTTATTACGGTACAGACCAATTCAGATCTTATTGGTCACCCCGTGCCCTTAAAGTCCCATCTCACAAGGGAGAAACACAAACAAATAGACGAAAACTATTTATCCGTATTGAAACGGCTGTATGCCGAATGGACTTGAAACACTAAATTTCCCTATACAAGAATACGGGCAAACCGTATGGGTTGACAGCTATGGAAGTACGTGGGAATAGTGCTGCAGAAGTTGCGTGAGCCAGAGCATAAACTTTCCAATTCAACGACAGTATACCAACGAACCTTACAAGCAAGCGCACTTCAGTCACTTTACATAGCAAAACAGCTTTTAAACCAGTGGCAATGTTTCAAAATTTAAACAATACTGGTAAAGTACGGCGCTTTGAAATGGAAACCCATGTCAAGGCCAAAACAATCCAGATTTAGAATTCAAAATGAAGCACAGGTATTCCTATTTGAAACGGAACCTCTAAAGAATAATGTATATGCAAATGACAATGTAAAACAAGACGGAAAAAATCATGCACACGCAAGGATTACACATCGCTTTTTCAACACCAAGCACAAACATCATCATCGAAACTCCCACACAACCGTAGGCCACGACGAGGTTTTTATAAAAGTTACCCAACAGATATATGATATACAATATGTTCATGAAGGAATAACCCTAACTCAGAAAAAGTAAGTTTCAGAATCAGAATCTGTATTTATACTGGAGGAATCGGATGAGCTATAAAGATATTTTTCACAGCAGTACAAAAACACGAATAGGTGTGCAAAGTAGAGGAAAGGTAAGCACATCACTAAAATAAAATACAAACTAAACAATTTTTAATTTTACCAGGTAAGACCCATTGAGCTATACAGCTCTTTTTCAGAAGCGACCTGGTCACAAATGATAACCCGACTAAGTGGCTTATCATTATACAGGTAGGAACAACAGGTTCCACACTGCTCACCAGGGATTATTTGTCTGTCTGTCTGTCGTGCATATCCGGAATTCCATCCGCATAATTGGAGTTTCGGCACTAATTTTATCCGTATTTGGTGAGTGTTGTTTTTAGCTTGAACAAAGTATGATATCCTTCGTACGCAAATCATATTTAGAGCCCGCGAGAAAGAATGAAAACTTGAATTTCGATTTAAAGCTTTCGTGACTGCAATGATTCATCTTCTTTGGTTCTTTCGGTAAAGTCACGTAGAATGAGAATAAAATAATAAATTGATAAAATAAAATAACACAATAATATTCTCACGACGTTTCGGCCACAACACAAGCGGCCTTCATCAGGTGAAGGGAGCGAGACTGTCTGGTAGGACAGCGCTGGAGTGAGAGAGCCACGTTCAGATCACGGCTTTTAAGCTGTGTGAGAGGAACAAAGAGCCTTGACGAAGGAATTAGCATAAAATTTAGCATTGAAAAGGCTGAATGATTAGCTTGTGACTGGTCACAGAAATAGCTATGCTAATTCCTTTTAACAATGGGTGCCTCTGCGGATGTGTATGCTTTAACTTTTAACATAGCTATTTCTGTGACCAGTCACAAGCTAATCATTCAGCCTTTTCAATGCTAAATTTTATGCTAATTCCTTCGTCAAGGCTCTTTGTTCCTCTCACACAGCTTAAAAGCCGTGATCTGAACGTGGCTCTCTCACTCCAGCGCTGTCCTACCAGACAGTCTCGCTCCCTTCACCTGATGAAGGCCGCTTGTGTTGTGGCCGAAACGTCGTGAGAATATTATTGTGTTATTTTATTTTATCAATTTATTATTTTATTCTCATTCTACGTGACTTTACCGAAAGAACCAAAGAAAATGAAAACTTGGTTTCGGAATTGGCGTGCGCTGCTTACGCCAATAAAATACCATATGAACCATAGTACATCTCCAAACATTCCTAACCATAATACTTAAAAAGTTGTGTGGAGATTGCGTACATATACACACATTTTACAGGTAGGAACAACAGGTTCCACACTGCCTACCAGGGATTATTTGTCTGCACGAATGCGCTGTCCAACCAAGTTCCTACCTGCCCCACTCCGAAGGAACGTGTTTTGCAAATATAAAGCGGCATAATACTGTACTCTAAACACATGTTTCTAAATGTGGTGGGGGGGGGGGGGAAACTCCAGTGTAACACGTACACTTTCGCGACCAACATTATCCATAACAGAGGTGTTTTTGGGTTAGATCGCGATAAATATCAATGTGTCATTAAACCCGCCACACCAAACACAGCCAATTAGTAATGTGTGTCACGTAAACACAACAATGTCAATTCGTTACAAGTACAGCAAACGAATCGTCTGTGTCGGGTTTAACGACACATTCATATTTATGCGATCTAACCCAAAAAAAAACCTCTATTATGGAACACTCCAGCGTGTCTGCGCTCTCATCTCACTTTAAAAATGCCTTGCGTTAATTCTAAGAGAACGATTTAACCACATCACCGTTGCAGTATATTATCACAGCAATGCATTTGACGAAACAGAAATGTAATGTCAAAGTTAAAACTGTTACTCATTATATTCTTGGTTCTTTCGGTAAAGTCACGTAGCAGGGAAACAATAAAATAATAAAAATATAAAACAATAAAATTCTCACGACGTTTCGACTGCAACACAAGCAATCATCATCAAGTGTGAAAGAATAATAATATCACAAGCAATCGTCATCAGGTAAAAAAATATATATAGCGGGAGAGCTTTTAAGGCAGGATGTTATAAAGGTTTGAGATGGGTCTATCTCATTATTTGATCTATCTACGTGCTTTACCGAAAGACCCAAAGAATATGAATTCCTGCAAAGATTTTAACTGTTAATTACAGCCTTCGAAAATATAACCAACGGCTTATACTTCCATCACAACAGTTATCTCAATAAACTACAGGAATAACAAGGTTATGATTTATTTAGTTGACGACCATAATAAAGATCGCGTTTCCACTTCGCCCAGTCCATCACTGCGCGAGCCATGGTGAGCCAAACACCATGGCAACCGTTATTGCAGGAATAAACCATTCTACATTTGAGGTAGGGGGGGTAGTCTTAATAGCCAAACATTAAAACAACCTCAAAACACCCGAAAACGCGTTTTTTGTGATTAATTGTAACAAACTCAGATCTATTACATTTTGTTTGTAATTGTAATGGGCGTGAGTAACGAATATTGTACTTTAATGACGTTGCGTTTCGTTGTTGGTATTAAACCCTCCCCTCCACCCAGGCAATGGTCGAGCCCAACGGCCGAGCGAGACGCGCTGGAAGCCCCACCACTGCAAGCCTCTTCTTCATTGGCATCGTGAATAGAGAGGCATTGCATTTTATTGTCGTTTTGTGGTTATGTTTACATTAATTACTTCTTGATTGTTATTCTATCACCCAGACCTGCGTTCTAGTGCCTCATTGTCACTTGTGTCGCCGTTTACACGGTTCATGGTGGACAGCAGTTCTGGAGTTGTTACTGCTGCACTGTACGTACTGTACCATTACTAGTTACGGTTCATGTACTGAACTTTATATGTGCGCATTAATTAACTGCATACAATGCGGTGGTATTAAAGAGCGTGTCCGCTGTATTGTACAATACTGTATTGCTGTTTCCACGCGGATGGACTGGTCCCCGTCATAGAGTGGGACAGGCAACGTGATTGATTACTCTATTGTTTGCGTTAAGAGTCGAATGGTTCATAGTGCACTGTGCTAACCACTATGCCACTACTCTCATCCGTATATTGTGTACTGTACTGGACTCTACGTCATGCACTATTTTGTGTACAGTGCTGTACGTTGTATACACGGCAGTCCTCAATAGCCAAAGTGGCTCCCCATTCAAGTAATCGATACGGTGCTGAAAAGTAAATTCCCCGTGGTGGGGAGGTTTTATTTAATGAAACCGCCTCTGTTAGAGTCTCATCGGTACGTAATTTAGTGGCCCTGGATAAATTATGGATTGATTCGTTTGCCCTGGAATAGGTCAATTTGCAAGGCGTAGGTTTCACGATAAAATACAAACATGTGAGAAAGCTGATATGGTTTAGAATTATTATTTTTTTACTACATCGACTAATTTAAACGAAGGAGTACTGAAATAACCCTGTACTCTTTTTTGTAAAGTAAACCGAAGCAATTCAAGGTGCGTTAATTGTGCTGAAACAACCCGGTGCGTTCATTGTGCTGCCATTTGTTTGGCTCTTCTATTGCAGCAAAGTGGCATGGAAAACTTCGTCCTTTACGAGGAGATTGGCCGAGGCCGTCACACCGTGGTCTACAAGGGGCGCCGGAAAGGAACGATCAACTTTGTGGCTATCCTGTGCGTTGAAAAGTGCAAACGCCCCCAAATTACGAACAGGGTATGTTCCAGGCTCTTGGTGCTGATTTCTTCGGCTGATCTAATAAGCATATATTTTTTTTTGTCCGGTAATTGCATAAAATGCAATTATTGTAAGCAAAATATGTTAGGAATAGAAATATATTCCTTAACATAAAACAAATTCGTATTACAATTTTTTTTCATGAGCATTTGGACAGCTGCTATGTGTGTTCCTTAGACAGAGGCATGCGTCTATATGGTGGGGGCTATTTCTCTTTAGGGCAACCACTATTGACTTCCCACAAAGTAGTACAAATATAAAAACCTCGTAAGGACGATAGGCTGAGTTGACCTCTGATCAGGATTTGATCACATGACCTTTCTGATTCTGAGTCAGTGCCACCCAGCCACATACAATAATACGCAATAATGTGCCTCGTTTGATAATATTGACACTTGCCTATTTGACTTGATTACAGGTGAGGTTAACCCATGAAGTCATTCATGAGAATATTGTGCAGTTTCTTGAGTGGTACGAGACCAGCAATCACTTGTGGCTGGTGGTGGAGCTCTGTACAGGTACCATGTGAACCATATAAACTTTGTGAAGTGCCTGTGTTTCCTTACCCCAAGCTACATATATTATCTAGTATTGCAGTATTTAATATTAATTAACCGGTGAATGTGACGCAATCTTGGCAATGTAGCACTGTCAGCTATTTAGTGCTTCAGGAACAGAAGGAAGAAGCTCACAACACATGATCCAAAATGTTAGACATCATACTGAACTATCTTACCTATAAAAGTCACTTTTTGTCTGTCATTTGTCTGTCTGTGTGTCTGTCTGTGTGTGTGTGGACACACCTTGTGACGCTTTAAACTGACAAACTGCTGAGTTTACGTTTCAACAAACTACACACATACGACGCAATAAGCCCCCCCACAAAACATTGCTATTTGTTTTTTCCATCCTTAAAATGTAAAGTAGTTAAATTAACAATTTATTGTTATGTTACTACGCTGAGGGCGGCGTCAAAGCACGCATCTGCGCATGCTCAGCAAACGCTGACCCATACCCATCATTGCCCCTAGCAACACACGTTGTCGGTGGGGCCGGGGGGGGGGAATTCTCATTCACGTTCAAAATGCAAAAATAACACGTTGAGGTAAATTCTTCACAGTGTGATGTCCTCTTCTTCCCCCTCCCACCCCAATGTGTGAACTTACTACTCTAGGGTCAGTAGATACTACTATAGTCCTTAGATACTATTACTGTAGAGCGGGAAGAGGATGGGGGGGGGGGGGGGTAGCAGGCCAGCCCCAGCCAGCCAAGGTGCCACTTTGGCCGGCTGGGAAATCTAGGCGAGGCCGGGGCTGTGCACAGGACTAGGCCTCACCATGGCACTCTGTTAAGTTAGTAGTTACTACTATTATAGAGTCGATAGAGTCCAACTGAGTCGCAGATGTTATTCTTTAGAGGCAACATTTATTATATCAACACGTAATACACAAAGGGGTAACTGCCCCTTTACCAGATACAGCCTAGGGTGGTGACCACCCAGCTAACTACACTATACGGAGGAGTTACAGCTACAAAGAGTCGGACCCTCACTCGGGTCCCGGCCACATGTTGATGCCTTGTAGGACGTAGAGCTTCCAGCTTGTAGGACGTGGAGCTTCCAGCTTGTAGAACGAAGCGACCCCGGTCCCTCTCAGAGACCCACCTTATATCCTCCCGGGTCGGGGCTGGCCCCGCCCAGGCCCCGCCCACCTTCTCGAGCGTTCTAGCTCCCTCTCGATCCCTCTCGAGAGCTCTCCCCGGACACGTGATCACCCTCTAGCCCCCCCACCTGGGGCCCTCTCTGTGGACACTCTGGATCACGTGTCTACAGGGTCAACTAGAGTGCCATGGCCCACGGCAACCCTGTCCCTGGGCTGACACTCTCCCGCTCCCCCTTGTGGGAGCCCGCACTACACGCTATGAGTGGTGCCCGCGCTATCCCAGTGCTCACCAAGCCCCGCTAGGGCTGGTACTACACCCATCTCCGGGGTGTAACGCGATGACGGTGCATCGCACGCCGTGCTATAGTAAAGCCGGCATCACACAGAAACCCACCCAGTGCTGTCCGCGACGTAGGAACATCGCACGCCACGACCGTCCCGAGCCGGCACCATACAGTGACATCCCCGATGTCACTACACATACATATAATAACAATTACTGGATTAACACCTCTCCACGTGTCTCTCATGGGAATTGATACTACTGATAATTGTGTGAAATACACTGAAACAATTTTGGTCTAAATTATTAAACATATCCCTTTTTTACCAATGGTTTATGTTTGTTAAACATTACAGTATTATGTTTTATTAAACTTTTTTGCAGGCTGTATTTGAACAATTACATCTATTCTAAGAAAATTTTTATAGTACAAAATATGCTGTTAAAACTGTTAAATGATGAATTTGTAGAGTGACTTTAAAATGAGGAACACATTTAAAATGTATTCTCCATATAATACAACAAAAATAAATCCAGCAAAGTGAATATAAACTTGACTCACATGTGTTGTGAATCCAACTCCAAGACTTGTGGAAGGCTTGTTTCACGAGCACTCAATAACTCCAGATGGAGAGCTTGTGAACATAACCTGCATATAACATGGGTGGAGTATTACTCATCCACTTTGCCTTTAATACCTAGAAGCCCTCTCCTCCCACTGCACGTGGTCACTGGCAACGTCATTTGTAACACTGAGAAACACCCGGCTCCAGCTACCACAGGTCACAAGTATTGTATGGTTGTTGCCGAAGACATGGTGCATGTCAGCATGACATGGCAGCAGCAGTCGCCGCCATGCGGTTGGCATGACAGCAACACCGCATACCCTCCTTGGTGAATGTAGCATGTCTAGAGTCACAGGAGGTATGTTCTACAAAGAACCCCTATGTTAAGTGACATGAAGTCAACGTTCCAAGTTGCTTAACCTGTCCTGCCATTAAATTTCTGTCGTACTCTGCATAGATCTGTAATGCTAAGTAGTGCTTCACCACCTGTTGTGCTACTTAATGTGAACCTTGTGCGATCATAGGCTGTCTGAAGGCTAGTCTCTTTGTGTGCTGTTTGGAAGGGGGCTCTTTGGATGCCGTGATTGCCCAGGACAAGCACCTCCCAGAGGATGTCGTGCGGGAATTTGGAATTGACCTTGTGAGCGGCCTGCTTCACATCCATGAGCTTGGCATCATCTTCAGTGACCTCACCCCAGCAAAGGTTAAATGTTATTTCGTTGTAATTGACAGTACTTTATTGTGTTAGATACTTAAGAGGTTTTATATTTGCTAGTTTGAATGAAACAGGTAAAGCAAGCTCCTACATTAGGCTTTATACAGTATACAAAGTCAAAGTATCTCCTTTGCACAATGCGCACTGCACCTGGACAGCACTCATCTCCACTCTAAATGCACCCACATTAGCTCCACTAACAAAACGTTAATTAAAAGTCCTTTGTACCATATTGTACCATATTGCAATTTTATATATGAAATAGTAAAGCTTATAAACAGTGTGGCACTAAGCAATAAAATGATGGCTGGATTGGGAAGAAGATGAATTACAGCTGTATAGGACAGCATGGTATTTTGTCAAAATGGGAATTCCTGAATTTAGAAGTGTATAGGAAATGATGATAATGACCATAACAATACATTTATGCAAATAATGAATCTGTACATTTTTTGTTTTGATGTTTATATATTTCATTAATTGCATTTTGAATGATGTATAGTTTTTAGAATACGTGTAATGTACAAGTAATAGAAGCTGAACACAGCAAAAGTATTACTAAATGTCCTGGCTACGAGCACATACCGTGGTGTCTGAGACAAAATAATGCGGTCTATCAAATTGTGAAATGGCACTTGCCAATGACACTGATATCCACAGATTATGCTCGATGGACCGGGCAATCTGAAGCTCAGTAACTTATCCCTGGCCCGAGCCGAGGGGGAGAATTTACAAGAGTTCTTCAGCCTGGTGGCCGGAGAGGACGGGGACTCACCTGACCCTGAGGCTGCTCAAGGTTAGGTTCTCATGTTCATGAGCACAGTCCATTGGCTGACTTAAACCTGATGTCACAATTTATTTTTAAAAAACATTGGCAGGACACATTCTGTAAATAGGACAACCACTTTTGACTGCCTCCAATAATGATGCTAATTTTATCAACTCTGCATGTATGATGGACTGAGTTTTTGGGCAATATCATTGATGCGTGTAATGTCACCTTTAATTGCTAACATAAATGTATACTGTGCACAGTTCTTCCAGATGAGTGGGGTATTTGTCACGTCTATATTGGTTTTGAGCAGAAAAAAATAGTTGTGTTTATGAGCTGTGATAATAACTATTATTTGCACTTACATATTCGGCACCTTTCACAAAAAGTCTCAAGGTGTCATGATGCAATAGATATACTATGCAATCCCCTCCAGTTATAATTACATGAGCCATCTTTGGTTATACAGAGAAAATGTCATCTGCACTCAACGTAGCTTATTAAATTATTGATTCTGTTATTTCACAATACATTGATTACATCTCAAGTAGGTAATCTAGATCCAACTTTAAGCAAGAGATAGGAAATGGGGTATATAATGAATGTACATGTACAATACTTGTTATGAAAGGCATACATTTATGAAGATATTTAATCCATATAGTATGTTTACACATTGCCTGTCGAGATCATTATAATGTTCACCAATCTGCTGTATTATTGGCAGTACATTGCAGTTTCGGAATAAAGGAGGGTTTTATTATTTCCAAGAAAACTGGATTTGAGATGATGTTTAACATATTGGTAGTAATATCGGAGAATGTGTTTGGAGAATTGTAGATTGTGCAGTGATGAAGCTCATTACATGGATTGGGTTGCAGGTTTTCAAAGCTTAAAGTTAATCAAATTGAACAGCTAAGTGCAGTCAGTGCAGAGGAGAAATACTTGTGCTGTAAGTGCCATTACAGTTTATTGTAATATGGCATTCATTATGGAACACTGAAAAATATATAACTTGAAAGTCAGTAGCATATGTATTCCAAAGAAACTATTTATTCAGACTTCATATGTATTTATAACGGTCTGTTAAAGCTTGGATTCAGTGAATTTTAAAAGCAATAGAGAGAGGAGAGGGTTTTGTCAGAATGACATTACAAATTTAAACAGCGCTCAAAGGTGTCACTGCACAGAGTGCATTGCTGTGATGTTTATGCAAGGCATTCAAGCACTCATTGCGATTGGCATTCAGTCACATTTTTACTGAGTTCAAGGGTCGTAGGTCATGCACAGGTTATGTACAATTCTATCGATGCCTGGTTTATTCTGGTCAGAATGAGCCCTTCACAATTTACAATAAAAAAAACTCTTAATACGTGAGTGGTAAATTAAATTTGTTATGTACATATGCAATACTAATGTGCATAATGTACCCAAGAATGCCTCACTGAATCTCAAAACTCTTTACAAGAGATTCCTGCAATGCTGGTGTATGTTGCTAATGCCATTAATGAGTGTTTCGCATTTAGGAGACAACTGGAGTACCTGGAGCTAATCTGTACATATGAAGATATTAAACTCAGAGCTCCACACAGATAAATTAAACTATCTGTTTCTGTTCTTCCAGCTCCTGGCCACCTATGGATTTACCCCTACCCTACTTTGGGAATGTTATCCACCAACCGTTTCAGGGATGCCAAAGGAGAAGAATGCTGCCCCATGTTATTTTAATCAAAAAGACAATTTGTATTAACTTTCACGGGCAATATTAATCAAATGGAGCTCCCGGGTGGTCCTTATGAATGAGTTAAATTCATTTATGCATGAATGCTTGTATTTCTTGATGACATTCATCAGGCTCGCCAGTCTACATGGCCCCAGAGGTGCTCAAGGGAGAGGAATTCAGTGTTGCCAGTGACTTCTTTTCCCTGGGATGTATGCTGTATGAACTGTTTACAGGTAACCATATATATTTAATTTCTGTCTGTTTACCTCTGTTGACCTATGATTAATAAAAGAGAAACTATTATTATGATGGAGTTATAACTCAGATTTGGTAGGCCAATGGCAAATGCAATACAGTAGTGAGACCCCAGATAATCATATTCTTTCCGATAGGTCAATTGCATCTACAAACACAGGGAGAGGAGTTGTTACCTCTCAAGGTACCATTATCCACCCAACACTGTACCGTACCACAACATGTGCTTTGGTCAACATTGACCATTTGGTTAAATGTGGCGTCTTGAATTCATTAGATTTACCATACTGTATTACAATCACAAATTAAAAGGCTAGGAATTGTGGATAATTTTGCAAAAAATATGACTAAATTACACTCGTATAATTTATCAGAATAACTGGCAGTGTTTTATCACGCAATACTGTATATGTGAACCACCGAATTATCTTTCAAGCTACCTGCATGTAGAGCTACAATTATAGGCAATTTGCTTAAGATATCTGCTAGCTTACAATATTCACAAAAGCCCTATGTCACTGGTAGATGTTTTTAAGCAAGAGCCAAGCGGTTCGACAACTGAAAACTCTGTATAACAAACATTACAAAAAGTAATATGGTTAACATATGTTCTTTTGTGATGCGTATTGTTTGCTCCAGGCACCCCTCCATTTTATTCTGAAAACTTCCCAGAGCTTATGGAAAATATTTTCAATGAGGTGCCAGCTACCCCAAGGGTATCAGGTGTGTGTGTGTTTTTTTGTGGCCTATCTATTATGTATTATGAATATATTTGGGAATACATTGGCAACTCTGAGCCAGTGGTGGGTATTCTTTTATTTCTCTTCTACGTGACTTTACCGAAAAAAACAAGAATATAAAATGTGTTTGTATAACGTATTAACTTGAGCAACCATTCCATTCACCGATAATAGTTTATACATAACCTGTCCATTATTGTCTAAGATAACTGAGGTAGCAACAATACAATTCTGGTAAAAAAATATGCACTTGCTGTGCAATTTTTCAAATTTCCTTGCTGTGGTTTTCACACCTGATGATGATTGCTTGTGTTGCAATCGAAACGTCGTGAGAATTTTATTGTTTTATTTACATTATTTAATTATTTCCCTTCTACGTGACTTTACTGAAAGAACCAAGAATATGAATCCCTGCAGTCACGAAAGCTTTAAATCGAAATTTAGACACATTTTAAGTATGATACAACATGGCTTTGCTGGCTTTCAATAAACGAAGGCTTTTAATTATGTAATTATGTTTACTGTATAAGGAGAAAATGCAAAGAAACCCTCTCCAGAATTTGTCAACCTGCTGAAACAACTGCTTCAGAAAGATCCATCTAAAAGGTAACTTAGGTGCCTGAATTCAAAACTGCCTATTTCACTTCATATCGAGTTTTTGAGTGAATCATATTAGTAAATTTATCAAAACCACAGTGCCCACCTGATCACACAAGGATGGCTCTGCGCTTTTCTTCGTGGAAATTACACGTTCATATGGCAGCATAGGTTCCCAGAAAGCAATGATCATTTTATATGACCGGAACGAGTCCTACTCTGACTGCGATTTGAATTCTCGACCTTGCAATTGTGAGTTAAATACTCATCCATCAAATTAATTTCATGAGTTATGATTTGAGTCTAAAATATTTAAAAGCTACATGGCACACATTTACTAGTATTACAGCAGCATGTTAGCATCATGGTCAGTTTACTCATCATTATTAATATATTGTTCACTGTCTCCATGTAGTCATGGTAATACATGTCGTTGGAAAATATATAACATCAATTGGCACCCATTGGGTGAGATAACTACTGGGCTAGCGAGCTCTCCTTTGGTTGGTGTTTAACAGTGTTGCCACTTCATCTCTGCATGGGTGCAGGCCGGAGAGGCAGGCTCTGCTAGAGCACCCATTCTGGAAGGGCGCCTTTTCAGAGTCACTCCCCGGTGATATCGGCAAGCCTGCAGGGAAGAGGTGACGCTGTTCATCTGTTGAACACAGGTCCATGTGCTGGCACTTCTAAAGTGTGTGGGTGTGCTCATATATATGTGTATGCATGTGGTCCTGTGCAGTGCTTTAAATGAGGATGTGGTTGACGCCTCATCTGCATCGCCTCCCAAGGGCAGCTCCGTGGCTTCCACAGCCACCAGCCTAGACCGCAGCACCCTCAGCCGGTCCTTCAAGCTCGGTAAGGATTGAGGCAGCACTGAACTGGCACTAGGGATGAATTTTGGATTTTTACAGACTTTATCAGGTCTTCTTTTTTGGATTTTAGGATCCTTTTACATGATACAATACTTCAACGTGTCTTTTAACATAAGTGACCTGATATCAACACTTTTGGTCAGAAAAATTTAAAGTGATAGCATTTTCTGCGAGGCCATACATCCTGGTCCATCCAAAACAAAACAAAAAAAATCTGATCATCCGAAAATGTAATATCTAGGCTTAATTTTCAGATTTTTCAGACAATTGGGGACACACCTAAATGGCACTGCTAATCATCCTGGGTTTACATTTTCAAATCTGGATTTCAATTATCTGTGATTAGACTACGTTTTTAAGTGTATTGAGTTGATTATCTATGCCTGGTCACCAGTGACTGCATATCTGTTTTACTGAAATGTATCTTGGTTATCGAAAAGATAAAGTTTTAGGATATATTAAATTAATTATGCCATGCAACATTTTACAAAGTATAAAGGACAGTATAGCTGAGCCCCATTGAAGAGATTTCAGAAGTCGCTCATCCAACTTACTCCATACGAGAAGTTGTCTTTTTCTTGGTTAACACTTGGGACATAAACTTATAATCTCAGTTGTATTGACTTAGTGCTCAGATAAATGCATTACTATTAGACATTGAACCACCCAGCCAGCTCTAATTTCAGTGTTCTCTTGTCATGTGAGAGGAATATTTTTAAATTATATATGATTTAATTCACTTCCCTTATTAACTGTTACTGCTTCTGTTTATTTTACAGAGAAACCGGATGAATTGAGGCCTAAAAGTGTCATGGACACGGAGAACGAGTCAATGTTTTCTCTCAGGTTTGACATTACTTTTTTATCATATTGCATCTCATACCTTTTGTTACCTGTACACTCTTAACATCTTAACCGTGGTTCGTTGAGATTAATTTGATCATTTAGTGGCAGTATGCAAATGTAGTTTTATTCTTTGCCTGTCATGCTTGTACCAGGAATAAGGTATTGTATTAAAAGAAGCAATGATTTGGTGCCCTTCTCCAATGCTATCCTTGAGTCAGAGGTGAAAATTGCACATTTATATGACACTCACGGGAAGAACCCAGCGTTGCCCGGGGTAAAAATATATTTCAAAACTTCTCTTAGAAACATAACATATGCATACACAAATACTAAGCTATTGTGAAAGCCCGGTGTGCCGTTTGTCCATTTATCCGTCAACAAAATTATAAGAGTCTTGCTGAAGTCCAAAAAGTTAATAAAGTGGGGGGTAAATAGTTGATCTAAAAGGTTTCCGAAAATTGTCGACCCCCCCCCCTCAAAAAATATTTACCCCCGTGTAGGCACACCCTACATACAATAGAGTAGTATCTAGTGACTCTATAGTAATATCTGACTCTACAATAGTATCGGGCTCTACAGTAGTATCTACTGACTCTATAGTAGTATCTATTGACGCTATAGTAGTATCTACTGACTCTGTAGTTGTATCTACTGACTGTATAGTAATATCTACTGAGCCCAGTAGTAGCTACTGACTGTATATTAGTATCTACTTACTGTAGTAGTAACTACTGACCGTAGTAGTATCTACTGACAATAGTAGTCGCTACTAACTATACAGTAGTATCCACTGACTCTATAGTAGTATCTACTGACTGTAGAAGTATTTACTGACCGTAGTAGTATCTATTAACTGTACAGTAGTATCTACTGACTCTTTTGTAGTATCTACTGACTAGAGTAGTATTTACTGACTGTAGTATCTACTGACATTAGTAGCTACTAACTATACAGTAGTACCTACTGACTCTGTACTTACCGTAGTAGTATCTACTGACTGTATAGTAGTATCTACTGACGGTAGCAGTAATTACTGACCATAGAAGTATCTACTGACTGCAGTAGTATCTACTGACTCTATAGTAGTATCTACTGACTATAGTAGTAACTACTGACTCTATAGTAGTGTCCACTGACTAGTAGTAACTACTAACGCTACAGTATTTACTGACTCTATAGTAGTATCTACTGACTGTAGAAGTATTTACTGACCGTAGTAGTATCTATTAACTCTACAGTAGTATCTACTGACTCTATAGTAGTATTTACTGACTGGAGTAGTATTTACTGACTGTTGTAGTATCTACTGACCGTAGTAGTAGCCATTAACTCTACAGTAGTATCTACTGACTCTGTAGTAGTATCTACTGACTGTATTAGTATGTACTAACTCTACAGTAGTATCTACTAACTCTACAGTAGTAACTGCTGACTCTATAGTAGTATTGAATGACCGTAGTAGTATCTACTGACTGTATAGTAGTAGCTACTGACTGTAGTAGTATTTGCTGACCGTCGTGGTACCTACTGACTGCAGTAGTATCTACTGACTCAATAGTAGTATCTGCCGACTCTATAGTAGTATCTACCAACTCTACAGCAGTATATACTGACTGTAGTAGTATCTACTAACGATATAGTATGATCTACTGACTCTATAGTAGTATCCACTGAGTATAGTAGCAACTCACTCTATAGTAGTAACTTCTGACTTCATAGTAGTAACTTCTGACTCTATAGTAGTGTAGTGAGTTCAACTGAATCACAGACGTACTCTTGGAGGCAACACATTTATTAACACCAACACACGGGGTAACTGCCCCTTAACAGGATAACAACCTATGTTGGTGACCACCAGGCTAACTACACTAATTACACCGTAACTAGATACAACGGACCACAGCTTGGGTCCAGGTCCACGTGTTGGAGACTCTGCAGGACGTAGAACGTAGACGAAGATTTATTCAGGATGAACAACAGCGCCGGTCCCTCTAGGGGACCCGGCTTATATCCTCTATGGCGTGGCTGGCTCCGCCCTTGGCCACGACCACCTTACAGAATCCTCAAGCAGGATCTCGACCCTGACACGTGACCACCCCAAGCTCCTACTAGGCACCCCTGTGTTGACTTAACCGGTCATGTGGCCTCTGGGGTCAACCAGAGTGCCACGACCCTTAGTAATTGCATTTCCATCGCCGGCACTCCCACACCCTATCCTGTAGGGGCCAGCACTGCACGCCAAGCATGGTGCCATCCAGCGCTATCGATCAGCGCTCACCGAGCCCCTCTAGGGCCGGTACTGCACCCACATCCAAGTGGTGTCCGCGATGTCAATACACCGCACGCCGGGCCTCTCTAGGGCCGGCATCACACAGTGACATCCCGCGATGTCACTACAGTAGTATCAACCAACTCTATAGTAGTGAATACTGACTCTAAAGTAGTATCTAATAACTATAGTATCTACTGACTCTATAGTCGTATCTACTGACTCGATATTCATATCTACTGACTATAGTAGTATCTTCTTATCTACTGACTATATAGTATTATCTACTGACTCGATAGTAGTAGCTGCAGACTCTGTAGCAGTATCTGCTGATTATAGCGATACTACTGACTACAGTAGTATCTTCTGAATCTGTAGTAGTATCTATTTACTCTATAGTAGTATCTACTGACTATAGTAGTAACTACAGACTACAGTAGTAGCTAATTAATATATAGTCGTATCTATTGACTTTATAGGAGTATCTACTGACTATAGTTGTAACTACCAACTCTATATCAGTATCTGCTGACTGTATATTAGTATCTGCTGACTCTATATTAGTATCTGCTGACTCTATATTAGTATCTGCTGACTCTATAGCAGTATTTGCTGACAATAGCAGTATCTGCTTACTCTATAGCAGTATCTACTGACTCTACGGTAGCATTTACCGACTGCAGTAGTATCTCCCGACTCTACAGAAGTATCTACCTCCCCCTCTGCCCCCCCCCCTCTCTATATCTAAGGCCTCGACACGGAGACGTTGTCTTTCTGTGTGCCTATGTGTGTGTCTCTCTGTTTGTCTCCTTGTGAGTCTCTCTCTGCTTGTATGTCTGTCTGTGTGTCTCCGTGTCTATGTTTTGTCTCTCTCTCAAATTTAGCACTCTTTGGAAGAAAGGAATCAACCGGGTGGGGAGTTGACTGTTGTGTTGGTCGACTCTCTGTGTTGTATTGCATTATATCTCCAAGTTTACTATGTTTGTTTTCTCATTCATTTGTACCTGATGATGGTTGCTTGTGTTGCAATCGAAACGTCGTATTCTATTATTATTTTATTTTATTTCTTTCTACGTGACTTTACCGAAAGAACCAAAGAGTAATTCCTGCAGTCACGAAAGCTTCGAATCTACTTTGTATTGACGTTTATGGAGTATCCTTCAGTTTTATTTTTTGAATTGCATTTTAGTTTAAGATGACATTCATCATTAACCTGTGGTCTGTAACGTAAATTATGGAACTCCATTGGCACTGGTGCACAAACAATGATAAAAACGTTCGTCATGTACACTTCCTTGTAATACATAACATAATATGGTAAAATGTTGGACAATGCTCCTTTTTATTTGTGCTGTGGCCCTTGATCTCCCTTAGTTCACGATCCCGGGCAGGTGTGGGTCCAAGTGCTGCCGTTCCGCCAGGTACCCCAAGCCGGGCCAGGTCAGCCGGACAGAGACAGCCTCCCAGAACGGCAGGCACTGCAGATGCATCGACAGCCTCGCAGGTTCGTGCTCTCACGCGTTTCTTAATGCGCGTTACATTGCACTTTTGAGCAAACACGCTGTGCCACATTCAAATGTGGCTGGGCAGGTTTCAGTTCACTCGGTGTTGTTTTGCTCATGGATGATTCAAGTCAGGGCTGAAGGGAATGTACCACGTGCTCTCATTGTAGGCAGATGGGTTGCCGTCTGTGGCATTTCGAGACTGACGTTATAATTTGCAGGAAATGCAATAGAAAATGAGTTTGCAAATATCATGCCACGCTATGCATATACAAGTCCATATTTCTGGTATATTTATGCATCTTGGAATATGTTCAGGAGTTAAATGCCAATGTCTACATCTGCTAGCCACGAGAGGGCTACTCTTCTGTTCATGCAATGTACTTCTGTTATTTTTGTCTCTTTGTGATGAATACCTTGAGCAGCAGAAGGCACACATTTGCTCCTTTAGTGAACATGATTTAACTGTATACAATATTAATGGCTATTTTAATATAATGGATTGTACAGAATTTCACAAATGCATACCAGGCTCTGTGCATGTTTTGCAGTCATGCTAATATTGAACATGCCATGAATATGTGGTCTTTGCATGTTAGTAGCTAGTTGTAGTGAAGACCTTTGCAATGGTTGTTTCTTGTTTCAGCAAGCCAGCGAGCAGGTCTTTTCTACATGGGAGCTGATTTTTCATGAGTCAGACCTGCTCATCACTCCAATAATTGATAACCCCAAGGTAATTGTTTAATAGGAATAGGAATCAACAGTGTCTAAATATGCTGTTATTGACGTTTTTATCTCACGATTAAAGGTTTGCAAGTTAAAATCCTCATAAGGGGTCAACTAAACCCAATATCTATTGGGGGTCATTTAATAAGTACCACTGTGCAGGAATTCATTCCTATATAGATCATTATCTCCTTCCTTGGGAATGTAAAATTTCCACGACTGTCTTAAAACGTCATCATCCTACACAGACTATATACAAACGCTTAATTTAAAAGGAAAATTAATAAAATATTGCTTTATAATTGAAAAATAAACATTGAACTTTTGTCTTCTTCTGTATGTTAGTTGGCTTCTACATGTTACATATAAGTTGTTCTTTAATCGGTTCAAAGCTCATTGACATACACTCAATTACATATAAATGTAAAGTTCATTACCACTACTAACTGCTGTATTTGAAACTGAAATGCAATATATCACACAAATATGTTTTTGTTAAAGGCTATTTGGTTTGTTATTAAAGTATCACTTAAATGCATGCTCATCAGCAGCATCAGCATGACCGCCTACATTTGGGTTAGTACTGCTGATGCTGGCAAGCCCAGTAATATGATGTAACACTGAACCAAGAATGCCTGTGCGACACTGATTAATTGTTTCTGTGCTTATTTTTAATTCTTAACTAAATGAAGACCTTTATTTTTTTCCACCGAAAGCATTGTACCAAATATGTTCGTGCGTTATTTTGTGTACTTCTATCGGGTATTTTTGTTGGGAATTAGTTGTTCATGAATAATTTTGTTCATTATATTGCAGTGTAATCTTGTTGTCATCTCGGCCCATGTTTTTTGTCATGGGTGAGTTTAAAACCTGATGCCCCGAGTCACTCTTGTGTAATATTTGAGGCCTGCCATGAATTTAATACAGCTTTTGTATAGCAACTCGTGTGGTTGTTGACTTTCTTTGTTGTATTAACATATCCCTTAAAATAGTATGTTTACTTGAACGTATTTTATTAAAAACAAATTATCGTTTCTTATATGTGTTGTTTTTTTCACATAGATCCTGAAGCCAGTACCAGTAAAGTTTGACCCAAAGACCCTTGGTGTCCCTGCTATTACAGGTGAGGAGCTAATCCTTTGCGAAAGGAAAACATTAAAGACATGACTATAGGAAGAGCCTTCGATATACTACAATAATGTAATGGGCATTATGTCCTTGCTTGGAATTACTCAGAGACTGAAAAAGGAATATGTGGATCAGGGAACAAACACACATTATAGACATTGGTAATAAATACATGTAAACAGGCTTGGCCAGTATACACCACAAGATTGCATGCTAGGTGATGAACGAGACTGGTAACAATGGCAGCCAAAGGAAAGAATGCATCCAAGAGGGTGGCTGCTGTGAAGAGTGAGGCGAATGGTAACAGCATTTCACCGTGAGAGTTCGCGATGGCATTGCTAGGTCCTCATCATTTTAGTGGATAGATAATGGCTAATGATGATTAAAAAGTGGTTACATCAAAAGTGTAAACAATGTGCAAAAGCATGTATACTATTTAACTTTTTTTTATATATATACATTATTTTTCTAATTTGCTATCAGCATTATGTCATGTGAGCAAAAAATGTGCATTCAGAACTCACCCTGAGCAGTGTACCACATAATGTCAGATAACAGCACCAGGAAGATGACAACACAGAAATATGTTTGATGTCACATCATTATATAATCCAGACTAGGTGGTTAATGTATTCCCTATAAACAGCATTATTTCAAGGTAATTACACCATAATTATAAGTCCACACAACTTTAATACACAGAATTTAGAAACTAAAGTTATAATAGTGTTTTTGTGAAGTAATTGGTAAACAGGGATGAGTTTGTCAAGTCACAATACTTCAGAAATTGCTTTAACCATGGGTACTTCAAAGTTGTATTTAATTCCTATGAGCATTTAAATATGGAACTAATACATCAAATTGCTTTACAATGCAAACAAGAAACATAAAAACACTGAGGCAGTGGAACTACGATGAACTCACACACAAAATATGGACAACAGCCATCAAAGTTCAAAGAACTAAAGTTCACAGAAAGATATAATAATAGGGTTTTTCCCCTTTTTTCTGGCAACAAAACTGAAATCTTTTTACAAGGATTCATGTCTGCATTAACCACAATACCTGCAGGTATTTTGACTGCAGTCAAAATGCATTTTGGCTGCAGGTATTGTGGTTAATGCAGACATGAATCCTTGTAAAAAGGTTTCAGTTTTGTTGCCAGAAAAAAGGGGAAAAACCCTATTATTACATTTTGGTACTGGCAAAGGAGGTCTAATGATTCACAGAAAGACTATTGATGGGATGTATCTGTAATGACAGTAGAGCCGACATGCGCTGTGAGTGGACTAGTGGCCGCGGGAGGAAATGGCAGGGGTATCAGTTGTGAGTGCGAAGGGACTGGTGGCTACGGAAATGATCGAGAAGGGAGCGTTGTCAGGCGACGGAAGAGTACGGTAGAGTCTGCAGGTGGAGCGAACGTCCAGAGTCAGCGAGAATGATCAAGAAGGGGGACGTGTCCTCGGTTGATATATAAGGGAGTTGCGCGGGAGACTCGGGGCTGTTGCAGTGGGGTCTCCGCCTGATGTCAAGTGAACGTGTCTTCAATAAAGTGCCATCTCAAGAAAAGTGTGTCAAGTCATTTGTATATATATACCCTGGATTTTTATGTAGCCACTTAAACTACGTTGTTATTCAATGTATCATAAGTTATGCATTTCCAAACAATTTGTTCTCGTTATTTTTCAACATCCTCATTGTCTTTACACACAAAGCATTATCATTATATTGATCTGGTAAGTTTGTTTTCCACTGTGAAAAGGAGAGAAGCTTGCGTACCTGCCTGAACTGGAGTTGGCCCGGTATCTGGAGCAGCTGTGCGGCACGATGGCAGCCACTGACAAGTCAGGCTCTCCACGCACACGACTCAACCTCCTGTGCTACCTGTGCATCATCAGCACGCATCCGCATGCCGCCAACCGTCTTCTCAACTCACATTTGGTGAGGGGGTGTCATTTGCACGCCTGAAGTTCAGTGGATTGGCAGTATGTTTGGGGGTTGATGCGATGAGATAGCACATAAGACACCTACCTGGAGGTTATGAAAGTGGTTCGTGTAGGTGACAGTATAGCAAGTTGGTTGCTGAAAAATCTGTCTGGCCCAGTTTGATTGTTCTTTCCTGATATGCATAGGTATATCTTTTTGCATGAATCTTGCCACAATAAATACATGGGCTTAACATCAGAGAATGTCCCTCCTGAAAAGAGTCTTCAAACGTATGGATGTTTTTCTGGGTAAAACTAGAAATGTTTCTGTAATGCTCACCCCTACATAGCACGAATATTATCTCTTTCACCACACTCATCGTGAAATGGTCCCCTGCGCATAGCACTCATAAAATTACAAATTTGAGCATGCCATAGTACCTCTGTTTCTTTCAATTAGATTGAGATTGCAAAAAAAGTACAACATTTCAATTCAAAGTATATTCCTGCTCAAATAAGGAATCAGGCAATGTTCATCTCTCTTTTTTGGTTCTAATCTAGTGCAGAACACATTACATTTACATAATACAGGTTTTGTTTTGGGTTATATCGCATAAATATAAATGTGTCGTTAAACCCGCCACCACCTGACACGGACATTTAGTAATGTTTGTCACGTAAAGAGAACATACCAATTCGTTACTAGTACAGCACACCAGTGTGTTGGAGAGTAAACCCACAACATTTACAATCAATCGGAGTACGACGTTTCGCCAGTAATTACAAATAATAGTATCATCATGTGACATCCAGATTTGTGTAGAAATCCTGTTTCGTTCTTAAATTTCCCTTGCAACAACCAACTTACACATAGCACAACTTTTGCTGACTTCTCAGTGTTAAACCTATTGCTAAATTAGGGCACCAACTTATTCAAACACTTCAGGGCAAAGTTGGACATAAATCATCGTTTCAAAGGGTACAATTCTAAGTTTTCATTTAAATCTAAGTAAATTGGTTTACATGGTTCACGCATATTCTCCATTATCAGTGGAGTAATTTTAAAATGTGTACACTTACTGTTTGAAATTACATACATGGTATGTTCAGTAATCGATAATTATATTTACGTGTTTGCAGTTGTTAGTGCTGATCCAGCAGCTGCAGTCTGCTCAAAACTGGGACATGTGAGTACCTGTTTGTTCTACTCATTTAATTATGAAATTAATGCATGTGTTTATTTCAACCATATGACATCCTATGTAAATACACAATCTCTTGAGGAAGATAATCAGCATATACCTCGTAGGTATGTATATTTCGATTTAAAGCTTTCGTGACTGCAAGGATTCATCTTCTTTGGTTCTTTCGCTAAAGTCACGTAGAATGAGAATAAAATAATAAAATAACACAATAAAATTCTCACGACGTTTCGGCCACAACGCAAGCGGCCGTCTTCAGGTGAAAGGTACAGAACTGTCGGGACGCTTGCGTTGTGGCCGAAACGCCGTGAGAATTTTATTGTGTTATTTTATTTTATTCTCATTCTACGTGACTTTACCGAAATAACCAAAGAAGAGGTATGTATATGTTTGATTCAGACGATAAAGTGTATCCCTGCTCAGACAAGCATGAGAGTGGTGTTCATTTTCATTGACAGTGTTGAGCCTGGAGTGGAAGTTCTTAATTCCTATGACAGGGGTCAGTCTCTGCCGATTGGCTCCCAAAGTTGTACTCATTTAATCAACCTCAGACCAGGAATTGAACTCACAATCTTATTGATTGCGAGTCAAGGGCTTTTGAACAGTGCTACCAATTTTTATTTTACAACGGTATTAGAAATGAAAAAGTGGAAATTGGATTTTTTTGGAAATCTCAAATAGGTAATTACCCACTTCCAAAATAGGAAAAATACAATATTATAATGACTATACATATTTTCCTTATAAAATGTATCATAAATCTCAATTGTGCTTGCTGTGCCGTGGTGTATTTATATTGCTGTATCTGTACTTTGCTTGCTGAGTATGACTGTGGAAATATAATTATACTATTTACAAAGTGTGCTGTCGGTCATGATAGTGCCATGTGAGATATTTTATGCAATTATAATATTGGTGTGGTGTGATTACTCTAATCATATGATGGTTGAATATTGCTTGAGGTGGCGTGTTTGCTGTGATAGTAATGCTGTGCATGATTGGTGTCTCACGCGGTGTGGTTGTGCGCACTCAGCCGGGGGAAGTCGGCTCGTGTTCTGGCTTTGCTGGCCCATCATGCCACGGAGCTCAAGGATACCACCGTGATATCTGAGGTGTGGAAATTTAATGGGCACAGTGGGTGATCCGAGATGAGTGAATATCGTTAAAGATGCTAAAATATCACTCAACAACTCGGCCGTCCAGATGACCATGTGTCACTGTGGATAGCATGTGCTGGGCTTATAATCGAGTTCAAATCCTGGTTAGTGGGTTTAAGTCAGTCTGTCATCCATTTGCAGTCATGGAAGTTTGTACAATTTTGTAAAGCAATAACACATGTTGTCATATGAACAGCCTAGCGTTGTTCCATAAAGCACCTCAAGTTCAATTTCGACTTTGTAATTTTTAGTTTTATAAGTAGAAAAATATACATTAGAGTTTTATTCAACAGGCACCAGTCAGTGAACCCACCACTCATGCAGTTTACATGATTCGGTGGAACAATCCTACAGCTGCCTAGTCAGAGAATGCTAGCTGCATGAAAGAAAATATTAATGAATATATGACATGTAAAAGCATAGGCCATGATGTAGCATGTCATGGCAGACATTACACATTTGAAACATACATTTAATAGCGTATCGCACTATCATAAAAGCCCGGCGTTACGTTTGTCCGTTTGTCAATGAAATTATAAGAGCCTTTAAGAAGGCCTGAATGAAAAAGTTACAGAAAGTGGACCCCCCAGATGTGTGGGTAAAAAGTTGATCTAACAGGTTTGCAAAAATTTCCGACCCCCTCAAAAAATATTTGACCACCCCCGAAAAAATACATTTATTTTATATGCCTACACACCCTACATCCAATAGAGTCAGTAGTATCTGCACACATTGGGGGAAGCGGGGGGAGAAGAGGACATCAGTGGGGTCGATGGGCGAGGCGTGAAGCCCCGAGAAGCTCTCCGCAGGAGCTAGAATGAGGCGGCCATAGGCCGCAGAAATTCTAGTAAATATAAATATCTTCTTGGGCTTATAGGTGCATAGAATGAGGCAAGTGTGTAGACTATCCCATTGTGTGCATGTTCTTGATGGAAGGCCATGACTGCCGTGACGGAGCTGGTGCGCGAGAGCTATAGGAACAGCAAGCTGAAGCAGTGCCTGCTGCCTGCACTAGGAGAACTCATGTGCCTTGCCACGAGACAGGTAAGCCTTATTCATCCCACCCATCTTGCCAATAGACAAGCCAGTTACCACCAGCAAGACTGCCTAAATAAACTACCTGGCATCCAACCTCAACCAACAAACATTATACAAACCTTGACCCCATTCTCAACGAGTAATGCAACTTTGAAGCTAACTGTAACAATTCACCCAAAACCAGCAGTCTAATTAGATAACTAACCCCATCCACCAAACCAGCACCAAACAGCTACCCAGCCACCTTAATTTCCTCTTGCATAAAACTTGCCCAAACTTCCAAGTAATCTCAAACATCTAACCAACCTCATCTAGCCAGCCATCCAAAAAGACATTGTAAAATGTATCCTATGATATCCCCATGTACAGTACCTTTTTATGATATCTTTAGCACCGATCTAAGAATTGTCTTGTGTGCTCGATGTGTATGGCTGCTGTATGAAAATGTAATTGGTTGGAGCAGGGTGACACGTGTGGTCATGTCTTGTGTGTTGGTTAACCATTTATCATGTGGCAGCTGCCGAAATCTCCAAAAAACTCGACTTTATTAAGAAAAGTTGGAGGAGAATGCATGTGGAATAGTTGATCGATGTTCTTCAAGAAGATGTTTTAAACACTTGTGTCATGGATGTGTTATGGAGTCTAAAAATAACCAGAGTAAATGTGTTTCATCAGTAACAAATATCAATTACTATGTGGTCCATTTTATTAGCTGTGTCATTCAGTGCTTAAAAAGCATTAACTTCACTGTTTGTATACCTTTCAGTAAATCATTTACTTTCAGCACCATGGCATTTATATATTAAAGATGAATGCTCTTTTTGTCAATTATTTTGTACTAGTTCATGAAGCCTGTCTTCACCAGGCAAAAGTTTTCACTAAATATAATAATTAACCAGATATGATTTTTTACAATTTTTATCTACAGACACTAACTAGTCAAAACATTTTATTTTTCTGCAAAAAAAATAAAATTGTTGACGACTTGCTTCAATTTAAAGACGTACCTATCGGAAACCGTTCAATTTAAATATTCCTTTTTTTACTAGAAAGAACCATAAATTATGAACTTAATACTCTCTGAGAGGAAGCTCCTGTTTTTTACCGTTTTCGAAATATTCAGATTTTAACGTAATGAAATGCGTATTTTTCATTCAAAACCGGTTTAATCCAAAATATCTCAAAAACAATATAAGATAGAACAATGGTTTTAACTTTTTTATTTTCTGTGAAACGCTCTATCAAAAGAAAAAAACGCAATGTTATATTTTTACAGTTTCTGAATGACACGTGCAAACATTTTATAGGGTACTTAAAATCGAGATTTGGGGACCTTAAAATTAAAAATCTTGGATATTCAGATTTTTTTTCTATTGTATGTGTCCCAAAAGTTACCTATGTACCATATTTCAGCTTTCTACCTTGTCGAGAAGTACCCTCGAGGTTTTTGAGACATACAGATTAAAGTCTTTATTTATATAGATGTGTGTGTGTTTCTACCATGTGAGGAGCGGTATCAGAGCGGTTGGCACACTGCACTATGAACCCGGTTAGCCGAGTTCGACTCCCGCTCACGCTAACTCCAGTGACAATTATTTTAATCATTACTGGTCGACTGAGTCTCAAATGAGTATCTGGTGAAATGTGTAAACATGGCCATGCGGGAAACAAGGCAGCTGAGTGTGGAGTTGGCCACCCACCCCGTCATGTGCCGTGCCGGCCTTCATCGGTGCTCGCTAACAGCATTTTCCCCAAAAGTGTGTTAATGCTATATGAAGGACCTTTGTCTTTATCTACCATGCAGGAGGAGAAGAGAAGGGTATCGAATGAGAGCTGGCATATCCCAAGTGCTGCATTCACTGTGGTACTGCGATGCTTACGTGATGGGGTACGGCCTGCAATGTTCACCGCTTTTTCCCTTTTGTTTTTACACGCGGAAAAATGTTTACATTACCACTGAATTCATTCGAGTTCCATTTTTGTTATATCAGATAGATGGGTAATCTTACTGTGAATACCCTTATTACTGAGCCAGTTTTACTATTGGTTGACAGTTTGATTCATGCAGCTCTCCAATCAATTCAATACATTATTAAAATAATAAGTCAAGGTGCCTTGCTGGTCCAGTGAGCAATGGGAAGTGACTTTAGTCTTGTTAATATATTCAAGCCATATTCTTTGGGTCTTTCGGTAAAGTCATGTAGATAGGTTCAAAGAAAATAACAAAAAAACTATGACGTTTCGATGGCAACACAAGCGGTCGTCATCAGGAAACGGGGGTTAGCTTCTAAAGGCAAACTGTTTATAAAGGTTTGAAATGGGCGGAGCCCAAATGTCAGCAGCAAATGTTAATGTAAGTGGTGGGCAGTGACCGCGACAGTGGTGGGTTTTTCACCATCAAAGGGCTGCCAGGTAAAAATTAGGATGTTCATGTAAGATCGTTGAGTGGCCTCCACGGCGAGCACGCTGAGGTGGCTATGTTAATGTGAGAGATTAGCATGTTAATGGCAGATCGCAGAGCAGTAACCTCGAGGTCAGCGAGCGAGGTGGCTGTGTTAGTGTGAGAAATTTAACCTGTTCATGTAAAATCAGAGAGCCGAAAATAACAACTAACATCGGAAGATGGTAGAATAGGGAACACCATAGCCAGTTATGACTTGACACAACCTAAACTGGTTAATAACGTCCTTCCAATGATTGCTCAGTTTGTGCCCATCTTCTCGGTTGAAATTGGGTCTGTGTCTGTATATGTGCAGTGAGGGAAAAAAGTATTTGATCCCCTGCTGATTTTGTACGTTTGCCCACTGACAAAGAAATGATCAGTCTATAATTTTAGTGGTAGGTTTATTTGAACAGTGAGAGACAGAATAACAACAACAAAATCCAGAAAAACGCATGTCAAAAATGTTCTAATTTGATTTGCATGTTAATGAGGGAAATAAGTATTTGACCCCCTCTTAGTCAGAAAGATTTCTGGCTCCCAGGTGTCTTTTATACAGGTAACGAGCTGAGATTAGGAGCACACTCTTAAAGGGAGTGCTCCCCTGTATAAAAGACACCTGTCCACAGAAGCAAGCAATCAATCAGATTCCAAACTCTCCACCATGGCCAAGACCAAAGAGCTCTCCAAGGATGTCAGGGACAAGATTGTAGACCTACACAAGGCTGGAATGGGCTACAAGATCATTGCCAAGCAGCTTGGTGAGAAGGTGACAACAGTTGGTACGATTATTCGCAAATGGAAGAAACACAAAATAACTGTCAATCTCCCTCGGCCTGGGGCTCCATGCAAGATCTCACCGCGTGGAGTTGCAATGATCATGAGAACGGTGAGGAATCAGCCCAGAACTACACGAGAGGATCTTGTCAATGATCTCAAGGCAGCTGGGACCATAGCCACCAAGAAAACAATTGGTAACACACTACGCCGTGAAAGACTGGAATCCTGCAGTGCCCGCAAGGTCCCCCTGCTCAAGAAAGCACATATACATGCCCGTCTGAAGTTTGCCAATTAACGTCTGAATGATTCAGAGGACAACTGGGTGAAAGTGTTGTGGTCAGATGAGACCAAAAGGAAGCTTTGACATCAACTCAATTCGCCGTGTTTGGAGGAGGAGGAATGCTGCCTATGACCCCAAAAACACCATCCCCACCGTCAAACATGGAGGTGGAAACATTATGCTTTGGGGGTGTTTTTCTGCTATGGGGACAGGACAACTTCAACGCATCAAAGGGACGATGGACGGGGCCATGTACCGTCAAATCTTGGGTGAGAACCTTCTTCCCTCAGCCAGGGCATTGAAAATGGGTCGTTGATGGGTATTCCAGCATGACAATGACCCAAAACACACGGCCAAGGCAACAAAGGAGTGGCTCAAGAAGAAGCACATTAAGGTCCTGGAGTGGCCTAGCCAGTCTCCAGACATTAATCCCATAGAAAATCTGTGGAGGGAGCTGAAGGTTCGAGTTGCCAAACGTCAGCCTCGAAACCTTAATGACTTGGAGAAGATCTGCAAAGAGGAGTGGAACAAAATCTTTCCTGAGATGTGTGCAAACCTGGTGGCCAACTACAACAAACGTCTGACCTCTGTGATTGCCAACAAGGGTTTTGCCACCAAGTACTAAGTCATGTTTTGCAGAGGGGTCAAATACTTATTTCCCTCATTAAAATGCAAATCAATTTATAACATTTTTGACATGCGTTTTTCTGGATTTTTGTTGTTGTTATTCTGTCTCTCACTGTTCAAATAAACCTACCATTAAAATTATAGACTGATCATTTTTTTGTCAGTGGGCAAGCGTACAAAATCAGCAGGGGATCAAATACTTTTTCCCTCACTGTATATATAGATGGCTTCATGAACAAATCTTTGTTGATAGCCAGTGGGTTTGCAAAGTACCTTCGTTTTAGAGAAATCAATTTCGGTGCAGTCACGTGACTTTACCGAAAGAACCAATGAGTATGGATCCCTGCAGTCATGAAAACTTCAAATCTAGATTGACTTTATCTCAGCAATGTACTACCAGGTCAGCAAGCTAATTAAAGGAGTTCAATAGACCATTTCGAGATAGTGGTGCTTTTCCTGGGTTTGCATGGGCTGCTCTGTGGAAACCTGGTGAGCAGGAGGAGCCTCTAACGAACCACCTGGCAGCAAAAGTAGTGGAGAATGTGTGCAGTGGAGCCTCTGCGCAGACGAGCGGCTTTCAGACGGCAGAGGTGGGGCCCATGCTGTGGTACCTGTTCACCCACTGCACCGTCGACTCCCTGCGTGTCACTGCCATCTCTGTGAGTTTGTTGTCGCAACATTTTTTTGTACGTTGAGTTAATACGTTTTAATATTATTGAATGAATTATTATATAAATATTAATAATCAAGTGTCTGCTCAAACGACTTTGACAACCCTGAGCCATTTGTGAAAATGTTCATGTAACGGGGACCATTATCTTCCTAAGATGACCAATGTCGACTTCATGCAATGCGTTAATACCATTTTGTTGACGTGCATTGGCGTTGGACTGAGCCAACCCTTAACTCATTTTCACTTGCAGTTGTGAATTGTGGATAAATATATATGCACATATTAAAATATGTTAATGTATATGCAATCTGATCAGACATTCAAATATCCAAACACAGCAAGTCAAAACATTTTAATATTAAGTAAAAAATACAGACCTTATTACAAATATTGGAAAGTTAAACATGCAACAATTGGAGCTGACTTGGCATGCATCTTGTGAAGTGCTTACTCCTCACTCCCCTGCTCTACCGCTGCAAGCAATGCAGTGTTTGTAAAGAATTAAAAAATATGTTACCTGTTAGTTCCATAACTACATTATTATCTTTGTACTTCACATTTTCACACATTTTAACTCGATCCATCTGAAAACCCTTGTTGAAGGAACCATTGAGTTTTGGCATCTTCACCCAAAGGCTTGCATCCAGGAGCACAGATGTGCTGGCTTACAGCCCCAAAAAAGTCAGTGGTTGTTAAATTGATGTCAAAACATAAACAATAGTAATACAAGGCAGACACCTGCCCCCTGGCTACACCCTTTTACAATATATCCTAACACTTAGATGCCTTCCCTCTGCTCACCACATTCACAATACACCCAAATATATTTCTTTGATGTTACCGTGTTTTTTTGGTGCTTTTGATGTGCATGTGCTCGTGCCATGTGTGTGTTGTCATGATAATTTCTTCATCGTGTGTCCTGTGGTGATGGTTGTATGGTTTATGTGAGTTGTATTTCCATGTTATGTGCAGAGTGACTGTACAGTTTAAATTAGTACGTTCACATGATGCAAGGAATAGCACTACATGTTTAGTTGATTGCATATGCAACACTGTACCTTTAACTGATAAATCCAGCCAGGTGGTATTGTTAGTAGAGCACCCAACTATTGGAAGGTTTTAAGTTCAAATCCTGCTTTGATATTGACTCAGCCCATCATCAAGTAAGGCCAAAGTAATGAACACTATTGTGTTGGAATTCAACAGTGAATATCCTATGGATAAACTGGCATCCACCAAAGTAATGTGAACTTTCCACCAGTGGCTCTCGGCCACCAATTACGAAAATAACAATTCAACATTAATTTGAACCATAGAAGTAAATGACAATAAAATAAGCAATAACACCAGAGATTAATCACAATGTTTATTAAAAATATTTACAATATTCCTAATTATGTATGTATTATAGTGGATAAGATGACTTGCAGTTATAATGTTGCACATACATGTACTCAACTTTTCACTATTACTTGTGGCTATTGTTAATATTCTAAGTTTCTCAAGTGCAGTGTATGTATGTTGAACTTCCTTCGCACTGTATGTAGCCAACCGTGGTAATGGGAGGTGAAGCATTAGTTGGACTTTCATCCATAAATTGTTGTTTTACGAATGTAAACACTACCATGCAGCGTGGAGGGATTGGCAGCAGCGATAGAGGATGGCACAAAGCCATGCAGCTCATGGGAATACAATTTAATTCAGCCCAAATTACAGCTCGAGGCTATATTTTGTATTGGCTCTGGATACGCAGCAAATGGCATTGGTGATTATGGTGGCGTGTGTATGCTTGTGTGTGCGCCCTCCCTTCCCCCCTCCACCCATCCTGGTTTGGTAGGCACTTTGTCGCGTGAGCCGCCGCATGCCAAGCTGCTTTCAGAATGTGCTGGAGAAGGTGGGGCTGGCACCTGTGCTTGAGGCACTGCTGTCGAGCATTGCGCGCGTGCAGCAGTGCCTGCTCACCCTGTTCTGCATCATGCTGGCGTCGGGTGGCCACCTCCAGCGCCTTGTTCATGAGAAGGTCCTCTCTCTTTCCCGTCTGTGTACACACTGCCATTCTGTATCACTAATAACTCCAAAGTGATTTCATTTTATATTGATATTGAGTTACTACTATAACAATACTCAAAAATAGATGCCGGTGGTCATCCCCATTTGGAGTCATGAGCTATTGCTACTACAACAAAACTCAAGAATAGATGCCGGAACTCATCTCCATTTGGAGTCCTGAGCTATGGCTGTATATTCCACTTTAATATAGTCAGCACCATTGTCTCCATAGGACACCCACTGTTACTTGATTCTGTTTTAATCAGGTCCTGAGAGATTATAGCCACAATTGGTATTTTATTTTATGACTTTCCCATTGTGAGCTGGGCACAGGTTTATTTTTAAAAAGGTGTTTGACACAACCTAAAAAAGGTAAGCAGCAGTAGGTACCTCTCTAAGCTGCACATCACAGGCTATGTAATATGATGTTGAAAATTTGTCAATGAGGAAATAGAATGAACTCAATGTATTGTCTTGAACAAAGAACAGTTATATGAGATGATTCAATTACTTATTATGTACAGGAACTGACTAAAACTGCCACTCTGATACAGGCAAATGTAGCTATGGTAATGAAATAAAAAAGCATCCATTTCATTATTGGACTGTGTCCTCCCCATAAGCTTCTCTACTGACGACCCCATTTGTGTGTGGCAGGAGTTTGTGGCAAAGATCGTGCGTCTGCTGGAGAGTCCGTCGGTGCTAATCCGAGCCAAGGCTTTCCTGGCACTCCATCAGGTGCTGCAAAACAACCCCGACATGCTGCTCTACTGCTGTCAGTCCCGGTGAGTGAGGCCTGCCACACACACGCTCACCACTCTGTTCCCAGTGCAGTGTAGTTTAATCACCAGGTAGGAGCGCACTGGTATTTATCACATCAAACTTAATTACCCATATTTGTATTTTAAAGTCAATATTAAAGTTCTGGCTACCCACAAAGGGGTATTCATAATGTCAAATTCCAGAGAGTTGATCTACTTAGTCAACCACCAACGATGATTCAGTCTCATAGCTTTCAGACTGTGAGATAGGTGCCCAAATGATAGCATCATCCAACCAGATGGCCCTTCCATAGTAATCTATAATTTTCAACACTGATTCAGGGGTACCAGTGTTGATGAACTTTGCCTAGCGCCCATCTCATGATCAGTGAGACACTCTCTTTCCAGTCTGTTTGTTTCCATTGATCTTCATTTTTTTGTTGATGATGGGGATGATGATGATACTGACGGTAGCGATGCGTTCAATACCTCGACAGGCTGGTGATGTACATTGAGAGGGACTCTCGACGCACAACTCCGGGTAAGGATCAACAGCAGTGGGGGCACGAATACCTGTCCCGGTGCCTGGAGATCCTCACTACTCTCATTGTCCACCAGCTGCCCCAGCTTACTGGTAAGGAACCTATGAATGTGGAATGAACTGCATGGGTTGTGAATGCATCAATGAACTCCTGTACAGTGAAACCATAGCCTTGGTCTGAAATTAAAATAAGTGTAAAATAACAACAATTATCCTATTTACTGTATATGTGTATATATGTCATACATATGTTAGTGTATGTAGTGTACGTGCGTGTTATTATGCAGACCCAAATTCAAGAGTGTGTACGGTATATAATTGTCTGCTGTAAAGTAGTTATGTAGGGCCCTCCAATCCCCACCACCCCTCCCCTATCACTGCCACCCACCACCATCGTTCCTCCACCACTAACGTATTACAATTGAATACAATTTAACGACATTTATTATAAGATTACGTACAATTAAACATGTTCTCTTGCATTTCATTTTACGTAACATTCTAAGGTATTTAGTATGTAACATTTTTTATTCTATTTTCTACGTTCTTGTATTTAATACACGTACGTTTCTTTTTAATTAGTTGCTCTGGACCGGCTAAGTACGAAATCAGGGTAGCTGGAGTATGACTGAATACGAACATTGACACACCAGCCTGATGGTAATGAGAGGTCTGTAGGGGGCAGTGCAGTAAGATATTTGCTATTACTGTACTTCATAAACATGGGTTCGCCCTGGACATTCCTGTTTCCTCCCACAAGCAAAAATATTTTACATAATTAGAAATTAAACACATTCCAAAGTACCACCCTAAGGAAAGTGTGCCTTTAAACTCAGTGAGGCCTTCTAGACAAAGCAAAGAAAATATTATTTGAATTCATCTAGCCAAGTGGCAGAGTGGTAAGAGCATCATCTCATAATCAAGTTCCACATTCAAATGTTGGTTGAGGATTGACTGAGCCCATCAACCCTCTGAGGTCAGTAAAATGAGCACTGCTTTATGGGAAGACAACAGTGGTTGACCTGTGGATAGACTGGCCCCCACCATAGTAATGTGGAATACAAATGTGGAATTCAAGACCACACACCAAGATGAGCACCATCCAATACTTGCTTGAGTATGGGAAAGATATGTTTGTCAAGTATACTCAAAATAATGCATTGCTCCTGTAAATATTATCACACAACATTTGTGTGCAAAGCAATTACATTTATTTACCTCTATTGCATGCGTGAACTTGTCGGGTCTTTGTGGGACAGGTGAGGTTGTGTCAGTCCTGGAGAGTGTGTCCGGTAGGCGGCACCCATCCACAGTCCAGGCCAAGCAGCTCAAGCATCAGCTGCCCATGCTGCCAGTCCTCTTACATCTTGTCACCTCACAGGTCAGTGTGAACACAATAGCATTTATTTCCAACTCAAGCCAACCGCTCGTTGTTTATAATGCGAGTCAATTTTAGTTTTGATTACCAAGTATTCCCTTTATGTTGGTGAGATTGTGCCCAGTGGTCACCCCACAATGGACCACCGGAGCATGAACCATCTTCATCTCACTTTGTACACATCTGGGGAACACATTGCATTTTATTGCTACAGAAACATAATCCTCAGGCAAAAACTATTGCAAAATATGGGTCACGTGCTTAATTCGACTAAAATGTTTCCATGAGTTTGAATTCATAAAATATTATTTAATGTTTGAGCTAAATATTAGCACTGATATATTTGCCAAAATATTACATGAATGACAAGAGGCACAAAGAAAGTGGTTTTGCCTTGTGAGGTCACTTAAGGTTCCTTTTGCATGAAAGTAATGCATGGTAAATAAAGTATCACAACCTGATGCACATTACCTCACGCATACTATTCTTCCAATCCTTTCCTCAGTGATCGTTCAAAACAAATATTTACGTATCATTCAAAACCACTGTGCTCGTGGAAAGAATTGTGTTTTTGTTCTTTTTGTAGCTGATACTCATTAATCTCATGAGCACAACATGACTTCACAAACAATGAATGATCATTGATCATGATCACACCTATTTACATATGAGTTGTGTACAGCAGTCCTGTGTGCCAAAAATATAGTCATACCTCGGTATACGACCGCTTTGGAATACGTCGAATTTGGTATACGTGTCATTTTAATTTATGTATGCATTTTAGTAACAAGTAATGTCTACATTATTGTATACAACCCCATTAATGTATAATACGCCATATAAAATATCATTTCTTATACTCTGGAATCGATTATTTCCTTTCCCTTTATTTCTTATGGGAAAAAATCGTTTGGTATTCGTCATTTTTGGTATAAGCCCTACCTTCTGGAACGAATTAACGACGTATACCGAGGTACCACTGTATATTAATTCCCTGTGCTCTTTTCCAGGTGTTCAGGCCACAGATTGTGAATGATGAGTTTCTTTTCAAGTATGGGATTCTCTTGGTAGGTATACATACAGTCAATTGTTCTAATTGTTTTCTTGTTTGGTTACCCTTGAATAACTGCACTTTCAATAAAACCCTGTATATAAACTAATGCAGAGCTTTTAGGCTTCATTCGGGTGGTGTGTTCTGTGTTATGTACACGATCTGCATTTGACACGGTTACATGGCCCAGTAGTAGTGTGTTTGCAGCTTGTTGCAGAAGTGCATGGCTAGAAACGGGTGGTCACCCTGATTAATATTTTGTGTTGGCGTAATGTTCCAAATTTGAAAAGTTATTCACAAATTACTTATTTGGGAAACACATAGCAATCATTTCCGTTTACTGCTAAAACCTATAAAAACCATGCTCGGTGATACTTTCCTGGATTAACAAGGATAATGCAATGTAAATTTAATGTGAGGTTTTACATGTATTTGTGTATTTTGTAACATTTCACCTGCAAAGCACCAGTTCCTCGTCTGTGTATTTTTTATTGCCAGCTTGGCATATCTATCATTTCTAAACAGTATGTAATTGTTATCTTTGAAGGGGACATGTATCTGAGATATGGTTGACGTGTATGATGTTCTGAGCCTTGCAGAGATGCATTTTCACTTTTAAGGATTCCCAGTGAAATATGGCATTATTTTATTTGGAACGTTACTTTTTATGATTAAGATCAAGAGCTCTTACAGTCTTAACAATGAGCAAAATAATTGCACAGCCTCAAAGCCTGCATTTTAATGTTCTTTCTCCATGAACTGCTTGCTGTGAATGTATTAAAGAAGTGGCTTATCTTTCTTAGGGGTATATCAAATCAATCGACTATGGAGAGACCAGCATTGATGGCGCTGTTGGTACGTAAACAAGTAATTTTTTAATTAGCATATTTTTTCTTTTCTGCCAGTATTGGCAGCTCCTGACTGTATCTTAGGGAGAAAATATATTCTACCTTATATTTTAATTTAAAGTAAATATAATTTACGATAAACATAATTAGCCGATGACCAAATCACCTGGAATGTGCCTGATCTCGTCAGATCTTGGAAGCTAAGTTGAACATGGATAGTACTTGGATGGGCAACCAAAATGCATGGCAGGTGTTATAAGTTTCAGACTGTAGGGCTGTGTAGTCAGCAGCAGAAAGCAGGGCAGGAAAATACATTATTATACTGCACTTATATGCCTCTACGTCTATGCTCCCCAATTTATCCAACCTGCAATGACCAATTGAATTGAAGTACAGTCAAATCACCCCTATGACTACCATGCACACATGTGCATACAATGTATAATTTACTAGTTCTGGACTCCAATTAGACATTCCTGTAAAGCTGCATGATTTACATATCAAATAATTTAGTAGATAAAGCCGATATTGTATTCTGGTTGTTACATTTAACCATATTGCACATCACATAAAAATGGAAAACAATTGGTGGCGATTGTAGTTTTAACGTGAAGCAGAGCATGCACACTGAAGTTATAATTATGTTAAAGTGAGTAACCAGAGTGGCAACAATTGTGGGAGATTTAAATATTGGTATCGGCATACACATGGTTTTTCATCGAACTGAAGTTGGCCTAAATAATAAATTAAATTATTACAATTCATGTATATGTTCTAATTAACATGCGTTAAAAGAACATGAAGGAGCACTTTCTAGCATTGGGTCAAAGAGGCTGCAATGTAAAACATTTTCACCTGATAACAGGACTAGAATGGCACAATTTAGATGTATTTGATAATAAGATTCAAATATACAAAAAAAACATGAACCACAACTAACATTTTAACACACAAGACAATGAGACTTAAAAGATATAGTTATGTTTACGTAATATGCGATTAATTCTTTGATCAAATGTGGCCCAGAAATAACCAGACATTTTATATGCTGAAATTAATATCAACCACAGATTTTACCAGAAGTCTCCCGATATTTAATGCACATGGCTGTGTGTCAGGGGATCATACATTCACAGAGGATGCTGCTACTGCTGTTCATAACCTAAAGCATGAGGAGGCACCGGATTTAATTTCAGAATTCAACAGTGTAGGGGAATACAGACGTCTTGGCAAGCCCACTCTGATCAGACGTTAGAGGGAGGCGCTGGGCAATAGCCCTAGACGTACGTATGTATAGGCGATGAGTAATGAGCAAGGAGGGTGAGATTGGGGGACAGCCACAGTGGGAAAAAGGAGTGGGAAACTTGAAGGGAAAGTGACGGTTGGAAGAACAGAGAAGGAGGATTTGCGAGTGCAGATAGGGGGTGGAGCAAAAGGAGGAGTGAATAAAGGGGAGAGAGAAAGAGGAGGAGGGGAGTTCTGGGTGTGAAGTCTGCTGCAGCACGTGTTACCTGCCGGGTAACCTGTGGGTCATCAATAAAGAGACCTTTGTTGAATGCAGCGTGAGCTTAATCCCTTTAAATGTATACAGACATATACAATCATCAAATAATATGTTGCCATTATATGAGAAATAGACAAGACCTTGTGAAGCTCAGCCTAATAGTGTGAGTTGTTTACCTGCAACTGACTTAAAGCCTTGACAGTAAAAGCAACTTGGTGGTTTACAGTTTGTGCTGGAACTAACAGAAAAGAAGGGTGTTTGTGGATCACACTTTTCATCTTCTTGGTTCTTTCGGTAAAGTCACGTAGAATGGAAATAAAATAATAAAAATAAAACATAACATAAAATTCTCACGACGTTTCGGCTACAACACAAGTAGCCTGCTTCAGGTGAAGAAACAGGTCTGTCCAGAAGACAGCGCTTTTTTATTATTTTATTTACATTCTACGTGACTTTACCGAAAGAACCAAGAAGATGAATCCCTGCAGTCACGAAAGCTTTAAATCGAAAAAGATCACACTTTTGTTTACTGATGGCCATCATCATCAGCCATGATCTATCCACCGCTCCCCCACCCCTGATACCGATGCCATGAATCACGGTTCTTTTGATGCCAAAATTCATCTTCTGCACATTAGTTAAATCTCATCACTCCGTCTCTGAAGTTGCTGTTCCCTCTGGCACATTCTCTCCTTTGGCTGCTACTCCAGTACTAGCCTTCCTATCAATCATCATCCGTTTCAGTGATGTATCTTACCCAAGCCTAGTTTTATTAATAAACAAGGGACAGCTACACTTGAAATTACGCAAGGAACGAAATAAAATACTAATCAGAACAGGAATAAGTTAAGGAGATGCACTCTCACCAAAGCTACTATTTGTGTACAATAAGACTTTCAAATCTGCTGCGCTGGGAGTTATCCAAGTGATGGTGGTACAGAAAATGGCTCGTTGATCTGTATACATAGATATTCTTTGCCATTCTGTAGTATTTATAGGTTTTCTGCAGGTATTTATCTTTCCTCCCAAATGCAAAATCTCATTGCCAAACCTCCCAGTGCAGGGCCCTCCTGAAAAAAGAGCGCTGAGATGCAGTGAGCATTTCCTGGGTAAATAAAGGGACATTTTATTGTGTTTTAAAAGGCTTGCTTGATGAGTGGGTGTAGTGGCGGTGCTCATTCCCATATTTTGTACCCAGGCCAGGCACAGGCGGACGAAGCAATGAGAGTAACGCTATCGGTGTTCGAGGCCATCACCCAGCACCCTGTTCTGCTGACTCAGCACCACGTTGCCGTGAGTGGCAGTGAGGGCAGCCTCAGTCACAGCCCTTGCGGCACGAGGCCAATAAAATTCATCATGCACATCGCTCTATTAATTTACTTTTATTTAATTCGGTGGCATTTGTGGAGTGAGAAAAAGGTTTTTTTTTGCAGAACACATTGCCCATTTGGGATATCAGCATCGTGTTCATTCAAATGAAGCAGAAAATGTTTTATGTTGCAGAGGCATTTGTGTCATTCTGGCATATAGTGCTTAAATGTTTTGCTGTCAACTTGTGCCAAGTTGTGTATGTCTTCCATGTTGGAAAGAGGATAGCTACTATGTTATTCATATTAGAATCTCCATAAAGAGCCTTCATTGAGAAAAAAATTTCCATAACATTTTTGCACTTCCTACACAAAATACACAGGGAGGATTATTTTTAAAATACTTTAAAATACAATTGCATGACCTGTTTTATTTACAAACAATCTGCACTAGTCTCAGAGTGCAGTGCTCACAATCGCAAGATTGCGAGTTAAACTTTCGTTCACTGATTGACTCGGGCCATGATCTTTGGTTTATAAAACGTGCATCATTTTGTGAGAAGTCAAAAGTGGTTGTCCAAAAGAAAGACTGGCATCAACCTAGCAATGTAGAATTTTCAACCAATGACTTAGGACTGCCAACATACGAGTGCCATCTCACACTCATTTATGCATGGAGGCACTTTGAATTTATGGCATGAAAGTTATATACATCCCCTTTGCTGGCATATCTAGACTCTTTAAGAATGTCCCTTCTCATGGAAGTCTTTTTTATGACTGCTGTTGTTTGCAGGTTGTGGACTCTGTTCTGCCTCCTCTGACTGCTCTTGTTCTGAGCCAAAGTGGTAAGGCTGTGTGATGCTATATTAACTGCAATATAAACAAATGGCCTTGGTATGTCAGGGCTGTAGATTTGTCTGTATTTCGAAAACCAGCCGTATACGAGAAATGAATGACTGCTGCTGCATTATTAATGGTGTTAAATAGCTTTTACTCATTGTTGTGTATCAATAGCACTCTACAAGATCAAGAAAATCCTTTGTTTAACAGTATAAACTGGACTACAAATTGGTTAGTGGATTGAGTCACTGGTCACCTGTGGCAAAACTCAGCTCCCTGAAATTAAGAACTTGCTTTTATAGTGTGTGTTCAGGATTACAGTGATGTTGGCATTGATTCGCGGATCCACCCTGCCACCTCGTCATGAATGCATTGATTTTCTCAATAGAAGTATGAGATATGAATTCGCTTTAAAGAATAACATGTATTCCCCTTTTCGTTCACTGTGTCTTAAATGCATTTATTTGAGAAAACAAGGAGTTGTAAATATTTATCTTGGTCTTGAGTGGGATATATTTTTAAAAGAGGCATAGTCTTTAACCATTTTCAATTAACTAAACCTTTTTCAATTAAATAGCACTATGTCTCCACTGATGTGGTGAATTGTATCGTATTGCTTAGTTGCACTAGTGTTTTTTGGTGAAGAGATTCTAGAACAGCGGCTCTCGATTAATTACACGAGTACAACATATCACGATGTTCTTTCTACCTCCCCTCCGTCTCCGTTGTGTGTTCCCCCCAGCGGAGCGCCGTATGTTCAGCTTGCGGCTGCTGTCAGAGGCGGCATCTGTGCTGCTTGGACACGAGGCTGTGAGCAGCAAGGCCAGCGGTGTCTCGCCTAATGCCGGCCTGCTCCGCCTCGTCCAGGAGACCCTTCTACCAGAGTGAGTGGCATTTCACCGTGATCCCCCATTTGTGAAGGGTTCCTAAGTATAATGTCAGGCAAGTCAACAGCAGTTGAAACAGGCCACACGCTAGTGATGAAAGTACAGAGGTTTACAACTTAACTGCTGATGGAAAACATTGATCCACATGGTCCATGGATTGATGGATACCTCACCTATCAACCCTTATCTGTTTATAAACGTCTTGTAAAATTAGTTTTTAGAAGGCAAAGCCTGGACTGGTTTTGATATCACTGAGTCACATTGGTAGGGTGCTGATACTCATTTATTCAAGAAAGCTTGACTGCTGATGTGACACCATATATTTAAACCGGTCTTGAATTTTCATGCAGTGAATGAATGTTGCTGAAAATATACCCTCCCAGAAGGCTGTGGGGCCAATGAGTTGTGTAAAATATACTTGTATTTTTATCTGACAAGACAGATATATGAAGGAGACATCTGCTTATATTTTTTACTTATATTCTGTGATTTGGTGATACTTTTATAGGTAAGTAAAATAAGTTGGGTATCTGCATTACCACTGCAGCTCCACTAGATAGCACAACAGATCTACAGTAGTCTCTCGGTTAACAGTGACATCGGTTAATGGTTTTTCGGTAAAGTTTCACCTCCCATAGGACCCCATGGTTTCGACTAACATTAATATTTTGATTAACGGTATGATTACGTTATGCACGCGAGCGCCAATTTCGGCCAATCCGACCGCTCATAAGTGGGCTGACTACCTCAATCAATCAGCGACGCCCATTTATGAGCATTTAGACCTCGACTAGCTTTGTTTACATTACAGATGAATGCTTTTAACATGTCATTCCTATATTCGATTAACAGTTATTTTGGTTAACAGTTTTCGTGGAACGGATTAAAAATGTAAATCGAGGGACTACTTTAAATCATTCAGCTAGGTGGTTCGGCTAGGTGGAGAGTGCTCGACTCACAAGTACAGAGTTGTTCCTTGTAGACTTTGTGAGTACAATTTCCAACAGTGCTTATCCTGTGGTTCAAATTGTCTCTGCCTGATTAATGTGGAATTTTCACCGCTAGCTTGGCTTTCAACCGAGATGACTGCCACCTCATTGTTTGAGACACTTTGACTTAACTTGCATGTTTTCAGTACACGTCTGCATGCAATACACTCGTTGTGTTCCTAAACATGTGGTGTATGGTTTGTGTATGTTATATAATGATGTAATTTGTGCAGTTCCTATGGCATGTGTGGAGGGGGTGTGTATTTGGTGGAGCCCTATGCAGTGTTTGCGTGGGTGAGTGAGTGGTGTGTTTGAAGTGGTTTAATTTGTTTGTATAACATGTGCACTGTGGTGTGTGTCTGAAAGTATACTGTAGCTTTGCGTGTGGCATACTAATCCAGATTAAAGTCATATTCTTCCTTAAAACAACATCATATTGGTTTATCACCGTTTACATGTTTCTTTGATCATATCACCTTCCCCTATTTAACATAGCTGTTTCACGTTCCGCCTACTCATTCCATTAGTTTTGCCTTGACAGACACAATAAGCACATTTAATTGTCCAGTGCCGTACTTCAGAGGCTGAGGTCTGTGGCGATGCTCGAGTGTAGACATGCTCTTAGTCCAGCTATAGAATTATGGATAGTAATATATAATGTTTGAAGCTGCTATTGTGGGACCACTCAAGAGCTGGGATTTAATAAGGATTCAGCGATAAATGCACAATTATACGCAATAATGTTGGTCTGCTTGCACGTCTTATAGCAGTGGCTAACCCAATCCTGGTGGTATGATATTTTGGTGAGCAGGTATGAGAACCTGCTGATGGAACCAGATCCTGTGCCAGCATATGCTCTCAAGCTTCTACTCGCCCTGGTGGATTACAGTCCTGTGTTTATCCGGTACAATACCCACATTACAATCCCATATTCAGTTTTTCAACATGCCCCTTACCCTACCATGTCACACAGATAATTATTTTGGCTCTAACTGATCCCCTGACACTTACCCGCGCTATGTCGTGTAATTATCCCATTTTGCCTTTGCTCTTCACAATATTTATTCCTTTATTTCAAGGCTGCTTTTATAATACTCTCTGGTTCAGAAGTTGGAGTGTGCCTATACTCAGATGAGTGTAAGGTGGTGCTAATCACGTTTGGCAGCCCTGAGCCAGTAACATAATTTTCACAATCACTTTCTCTATGGGACAATCGCTGTTGAATTTTACAAAGTGGCACTTATTTTGTGGACCCTAGAGGAAATATGAGCTAAGTCAAGCAAAATCAACCAAGATTCAAACTCATGTCGTCTAAAACAGCTTGAATACAGGGCAACCCAGTATTTGCATAATAGTACAAATAATGCTATGCAAACGAACTTGATAACATAAACAACATGAATTAGTATTTAGCTGTGTAATCTTAAACTCAAATTTTGTCAAAATAATACATGTGACCTTGGCAAATAATTATTTTTACTTTGTTATAATAACACATGGTGTGCTGTTTATAAGGTCATAATTCCAATAAGTTCATTTCTGTGCATCGTGTGTTACAATGAGACATGAGGTCAACCTGACACCCTCGTTTTGTCTTTCGCTGTTATTTCAACGCCTCATTCTCTGGGTTTTAAAGTCAAGCAGACATTACATGGAAAGATTAACATTTGTGGCTTGTGGGTACTATGATAAAAGTTCTGATTAAATCAATATATTCATAATTGTTGGTCTTGGTGCAAAAGGGGCAACATTTATCATTGTTTATTGCGGCATAAGACACTTAAGTAATTTATCAAATGCAAATGCTGGCAAGACAAATACATGTGGCAATTATTAAAGCAGTGTTAGGCAAGTGTTCAATGTGGTTTCAGCAGATGTTGATATGATGTCATTGCAACCAATTGTTTTAGACCAACAGACCCTCCATTGCCCCAACCCGAAGCCTATAGCATCCTTCTTTGGTTCTTTCGGTAAAGTCACGTGGAATGAGAATAAAAAAATAATAAAATAACACAATAAAATTCTCACGACGTTTCGGCCACAACACAAGTGGCCTTCATCAGGTGAAGGGACGAGACTGTCTCGAGGACAGCGCTGGAGTGAACACAGCCAAGCTTAGACCGCAACCTTTAAGCTGTGTGAGAAGAAACAAAGAGCCTTGACAAAGGAATTAGCATAAAAATTAGCATTTAATTGGCGGACTTAGCATGATGAACGCTGTAGAGGGGGTGAACATGTGCAGACCGGCGAGGGGGGGAGGGGGAGTTTACATATTGATGGTGTGAAAAGGGAATTTAAGCTGCTGCGAAAGTTTGGGATACCACTACTTGAAAAAAATATACTGTACCATTGAAAATTAGTTTAATGTTTAGTTCGGATAATTTAGCATTGAAATAGCTGCGTGATTAGCTTGTGACTGGTCACAGAAATGGCTATGTTAAAGTCAAAGCCTACACATCCACAGAGGCACCTAGTACCAATCAAACATATAGCATCCGTAAGAGAGCTTTACGAGTGAGGTTAGAATGTATCATGCTTAACACAGCCATACATCAATTGTTTTACAAACAAATTATATGCTGCATGTTTGTTTAACTGCATACATTAAGAGACTAGGTAGCTGTATTATAAGCCTCGTGACAGTTTCACTAAGCTACATAGAAGTGCTGTATTGGTTGTACACAGCAAGTGCTGCAATGATCCATCTTAACTTCCAGCTATTCAGCAAGAAATCAAAATCTCCCTGCTCAACATAGCTTTGGGGCAGTGCTTAATCTCTGATGGTGGTCCTAAGCTAGCTGCAAAAAAGTCTACATAGAACAACCAATGTTGACCTCCCAGCAAGTGGCAATAATGTTATTGACCTACAACCATTCAAACTCGCAACTTTATATTTGTGGGTTGAGTGCTCGAACCACTGCACCATCCAACTGGATAAAGTCACTGCTACCATTCTTTAACATGTTTGTTTGCCTTGAAAAGTATATGAGAATAAATGTACCATCCTACACAGCAGCTGACTGTCTTTACATGATTTAATAGTTTCTGGACAAACACCAACATTCCAAAAAATGACCGCCAGTAAACCTTCCTACTTCATCTATGATCAGTTTTCTTTTTACCCAGACAAAAGCCACTCCTATGTAATTCAAGATGGGTTTTATGACATGGGCGTACGTGTGGGTTAGCAGGAATGTCTGAGTATTTTGTTCATCTTTGGGAGTTTGTTGTGTCTTCATCTGAACTCACATGGCTGATTTGCCACTAGAGTTTTCCCACCTCCTTATGGTTCACCTGAAAGGCACACAAATAATGTTATTGCCTTGATTACTTTGCCTTTAACCAGTTACTAATTTATATTTATTTAAAATATTTATTATCGCACACCATTTGATCTAAATATAACAATGTATGACACCCGAAAGTGTTTGAATTAACTATTTGTTGCTACCCTTATATACAAATTGTGCCACCGGAGTTGTTCCACATGGTAGAGCATTTTTTTTTGTAACATTTACTGTAATGTTGTATGTGCATATTACCAAGCATATTTCTCTTTCGGACACTCCTTCAGCATATTCTTTCTTCCCCAGTGTGTGTGTATGTGTGATATAATATTTACGTGTGGTCAGTAGGTGGAACCTCTTCCCTTTGTCAGGTCTAGTCCTAGCAATAACCAGCGGTACATGAGATGTACATACATGAGTTGTTTGGCTAGTTATTCCTTTCCATCTTATTCTATCTTCTAATGCCTGTAGAGCATCCACCTTTTTCAGACTGGTCCAGTCCTTCATAATGGTCGTTCAGCTTGTCCTTGTGGTTTGACTTGACTCCTCCATCCTTGCATTCTGCCATTCGGTATTGTGTTTGCCAGTCTGTGATGTCATGTTACAGGGCCAACCAACTGCAGTTTTCTTATATTTGCTCGTTAGTCAGGGCTTATGTTCACCTATTTATTTTGTGATTTTGGAGCGAACAGACTCGCTTGTGGAGTGTAACATATATGATTCTGTGCAAGGGTCGTCGAAAACACTTTGGGGGAAGTCTCTGACTATTGTATTGCAACCAGACAATACAATAGCCACCTCACTCTGTACCTCCCTTTACAATGTGTATACACTCCCTCTGTGCGCCTGATATTACACCAGCTGCTCGACGTGTTCGATGAGTGTTCTCTTTTTTACTGTACTGACCCAATACGATTCAATATCTATTTTACAAGGGAGACCCTGATAACTGTAGTCATGTACAGTGAGGGAATAAAGTATTTGATGTCCTGCTGATTTTGTATGTTTGCCCACTGACAAAGAAATGATCAGTCTATAATTTTAATGGTAGGTTTATTTGAACAGTGAGAGACAGAATAACAACAACAAAAAAACAGAAAAACGCATGTCAAAAATGTTATAAATTGATTTGCATTGTAATGAGGGCAATAAGTATTTGACCCCTCTGCAAAACATGACTTAGTACTTGGTGGCAAAACCCTTGTTGGCAATCACAGAGGTCAGACGTTTCTTGTAGTTGGCCACCAGGTTTGCACACATCTCAGGAGGGATTTTGTCCCACTCCTCTTTGCAGATCTTCTCCAAGTCATTAAGGTTTCGAGGCTGACGTTTGGCAACTCGAACCTTCAGCTCCCTCCACAGATTGTATATGGGTTTAAGGTCTGGAGACTGGCTAGACCACTCCAGGACCTTAATGTGCTTCTTCTTGAGCCACTCCTTTGTTGCCTTGGCCGTGTGTTTTGGGTCATTGTCATGCTAGAATACCCATCCACGACCCATTTTCAATGCTGAGATTAGGAGCACACTCTTAACGGGAGTGCTCCTAATCTCAGCTTGTTACCTGTATAAAAGACACCTGTCCACAGAAGCAATCAATCAGATTCCATACTCTCCACCATGGCCAAGACCAAAGAGCTCTCCAAGGATGTCAAGGACATGATTGTAGACCTACACAAGGCTGGAATGGGCTACAAGACCATTGCCAAGCAGCTTGGTGAGAAGGTGACAACAGTTGGTGCGATTATTCGCAAATGGAAGAAACACAAAAGAACTGTCAATCTCCCTCGGCCTGGGGCTCCATGCAAGATCTCACCTCGTGGAGTTGCAATGATCATGAGAACGGTGAGGAATCAGCACAGAACTACACGGGAGGATCTTGTCAATGATCTCAAGGCAGCTGGGACCATAGTCACCAAGAAAACAATTGGTAACACACTACGCCGTGAAGGACTGAAATCCTGCAGCGCCCGCAAGGTCCCCCTGCTCAAGAAAGCACATATACATGCCCGTCTGCAGTTTGCCAATGAACATCTGAATGATTCAGAGGACACCTGGGTGAAATTGTTGTGGTCAGATGAGACCAAAATGCAGCTCTTTGGCATCAACTCAACTCGCCGTGTTTGGAGGAGGAGGAATGCTGCTATGACCCCAAGAACACCATCCCCACCGTCAAACATGGAGGTGGAGACATTATGCTTTGGGGGTGTTTTTCTGCTGAGGGGACAGGACAACTTCACCGCATCAAAGGGACGATGGACAGGGCCATGTACCGTCAAATCTTGGGTGAGAACCTCCTTCCCTCAGCCAGGGCATTGAAAATGGGTCGTGGATGGGTATTCCAGCATGACAATGACCCAAAACACATGGCCAAGGCAACAAAAGAGTGGCTCAAGAAGAAGCACATTAAGGTCCTGGAGTGGCCTAGCCAGTCTCCAGGCCTTAATCCCATAGAAAATCTGTGGAGGGAGCTGAAGGTTCGAGTTACAAAACGTCAGCCTCGAAACCTTAATGACTTGGAGAAGATCTGCAAAGAGGAGTGGGACAAAATCCCTCCTGAGATGTGTGCAAACCTGGTGGCCAACTACAAGAAACGTCTGACCTCTGTGATTGCCAACAAGCGTTTTGCCACCAAGTACTAAGTCATGTTTTGCAGAGGGGTCAAATACTTATTTCCCTCATTAAAATGCAAATCAATTTATAAGATTTTTGACATGCGTTTTTCTGGATTTTTTTGTTGTTATTCTGTCTCTCACTGTTCAAATCAACCTACCATTAAAATTATAGACAGATCATTTCTTTGTCAGTGGGCAAATGTACAAAATCAGCAGGGGATCAATTATCTTCTTTGGTTCTTTCGGTAAAGTCACGTAGAATGAGAATAAAATAATAAATTGATAAAATAAAATAACACAATAATATTCTCACAATTACTTTTTTCCCTCACTGTACAGGAGTTAATTTAATGTTGATGAATGGTGGTAGGGCCATTATTTGTTATTTAATATTTCAGCATGTGCTGAAGCAACAGTGAGTGTCTGTGGTTGCCTCTTTATAACATATGGCTTCTGTGTCCTCCACCCAGGCACCTGGAGGAGTTAAACCTTGTTCCAGTACTATTGCAAGTATTGCAGGTATGTGGGGCAACTCATCTTTACAAGTATCACCTATGAACCAACGCTAAGAAGAGGCTCTATTGTGACATATCTCAGAACACTGGGAATACAATTATTTTCAGTATGATTCACTGCCGTGTAGCAGAGATGTATCTGCATTACCTGGCTTTGTACCATGAAAAAATAAACTTTAATGCTTTGTTTTAAACCTATAAAATACCCCTTATAGAAATAACATTTTTATTTAGAATTTGTGTCAACCAACGTAAAAATTGTCCACTTACAAAATTAAGCATTGCACAGTGTTCAAATCTCTGTGTAGGCCTGAGCCAGGTGTGGATATTGACATGCATATACAGTGAGGGAAAAAAGTATTTGATCCCCTGCTGATTTTGTACATTTGCCCACTGACAAAGAAATGATCAGTCTATAATTTTAATGGTAGGTTTATTTGAACAGTAAGAGACAGAATAACAACAACAAAATCCAGAAAAACGCATGTCAAAAATGTTATAAATTGATTTGCATTTTAATAAGGGAAATAAGTATTTGACCCCTCTGCAAAACATGACTTAGTACTTGGTGGCAAAACGCTTGTTGGCAATCACAGAGGTCAGACGTTTCTTGTAGTTGGCCACCAGGTTTGCACACATCTCAGGAGGGATTTTGTCCCACTCCTCTTTGCATATCTTCTCCAAGTCATTAAGGTTTCGAGGCTGACGTTTGGCAATTCGAGCCTTCAGCTCCCTCCACAGATTTTCTGTGGGATTAAGGTCTGGAGACTGGCTAGGCTACTCCAGGACCTTAATGTGCTTCTTCTTGAGCCACTCCTTTGTTGCCTTGGCCGTGTGTTTTGGGTCATTGTCATGCTGGAATACCCATCCACGACCCATTTTCAATGCCCTGGCTGAGGGAAGGAGGTTCTCACCCAAGATTTGACGGCATATGGCCCCGTCCATCGTCCCTTTGATGCGGTGAAGTTGTTCTTTCCCCTTAGCAGAAAAACACCCCCAAAGCATAATGTTTCCACCTCCATGTTTGACGGTGGGGATGGTGTTCTTGGGGTCATAGGCAGCATTCCTCCTCCTCCAAACACGGCGAGTTGAGTTGATGCCAAAGAGCTCCAATTTGGTCTCATCTGACCACAACACTTTCACCCAGTTGTCCTCTGAATCATTCAGATGTTCATTGGCAAACTTCAGACGTGCATGTTTTTGTGCTTTCTTGAGCAGGGGGACCTTGCAGGCACTGCAGGATTTCAGTCCTTCACGGCGTAGTGTGTTACCAATTGTTTTCTTGGTGACTATGGTCCCAGCTGCCTTGAGATCATTGACAAGATCCTCCCGTGTAGTTCTGGGCTGATTCCTCACCGTTCTCATGATCATTGCAACTCCACGCGGTGAGATCTTGCATGGAGCCCCAGGCCGAGGGAGATTGACAGTTCTTTTGTGTTTCTTCCATTTGCGAATAATCGCACCAACTATTGTCACCTCACCAAGCTGCTTGGCAATGGTCTTGTAGCCCATTCCAGCCTTGTGTAGGTCTACAATCTTGTCCCTGACATCCATGGGAGAGCTCTTTGGTCTTGGCCATGGTGGAGAGTTTGGAATCTGATAGATTGCTTCTGTGGACAGGTGTCCTTTATACAGGTAACAAGCTGAGATTAGGAGCACTCCCTTTAAGAGTGTGCTCCTAATCTCAGCTCTTTACCTGTATAAAAGACACCCTGGGAGCTAGAAATCTTTCTGTTTTGAGAGGGGGTCAAATTCTTATTTCCCTCATTAAAATATAAATCAAATTAGAACATTTTTGACATGCGTTTTTCTGGATTTTTTTGTTATTCTATCTCTCACTGTTCAAATAAACCTACCATTAAAATTATAGACTGATCATTTCTTTGTCAGTGGGCAAACGTACAAAATCAGCAGGGGATCAAATACTTTTTTCCCTCTGTACATGGGGCTAGTTTCTCCATAGGACAGGGTCTTTAAATCACTACAAATTGGAGCTCCTATTGATGGCCCGATTCATCATCCAACTGAGATTTGAATTATCGACCTTCCAATTGTAAGTTGAGCACTCTAACCACAACTACATACAACCGGGTAGAACACTTTATACATTGAAAGTAAACATATATAATCAGTTAACAGTAATGTAATATATTAGCTGGATACCAGGATGGAGTACTTTTAGAAATCTGAATTTGATAATGAAAGCAACTTACCAACGTGCTTGAAGAAGAAAGTTGTCAGTCAGTACATATTGTCAGCTATGACATTAGGTACATGGATACTGATACAAATGGAACGAAAGCTAAAAAGTCTGTAAAGAAGCATGTAAATATACACGCTTGGAATTACACTGAGAGACAGGTAGAGAAGCACATGGATCAGAGAACAAGTGCAAATCAGACACATTGTCAACGAAAGATAGTGGACAGGACACCTCGTTCGAAGGGATGATGGCCGATGGACAAAACTTGTGATGGATTGGCAGCTATGGAAGAATGTACCCCATAGAATGGCCACTACAGAGTTGGAGTCATGAAATCAATTAATGTGCAGGAGTTAAATATATTGTGGCATCGCAAGACCATATGGGATAAGGATGGCATGGGGGGGGGGTTATCACCACTTTGGTATTGAGTAATGTCATTCCATCCCATTGAGTGATCATGCTATACGAGAGTGAAACATTTTTACAAATGATTCAAATCAAATTATATTTAATTCCATAAGACACCCCGAACGACCCCACCTTAATTTTCTGGCAAGCTGTGCTAATGATTATTCCATGGTGCTTTTTACAACTGTTTGGGGCTGTTTGAGGCTCTGCTTCCAAATGTTGTGACGTTTAGGTAGCTCTAGTGGCAATACGCTCCCCTGGAGTGGCACTCACAGATCCTCCCACCGCTCGCAGTGGGAACAAAAACACTCCTTGAATCTGCCGTTCACCCCTGTTTGATCTTTGGGAGCATGGCTTCATGCCAAACAAGCTGTGTCTACAAGGCGGTGCTTGCCAGATGTTGGAACAGCTTGTGTAAATTCACGTGTGCAGTATGCGCTCAAGTACATGCTCAGTTTTATTTGGTTGCATGAATACCTGTACAGTCCTCATTATAATGTACTCTTCATCTATGATGGCCATTAGTTGATTTAAAAAAATAAGTGCATGAGGTAGATTTTTTTTAGAACTGAGAAGTTTAGTAACATAAGTACAAGTTTGGAGTTGTGGGGCACACATCTTAAATTTGGTTCTTGGGAGAACACGATGGTGATTCCTGAAAAGGAAACCACATTGTATGAGACTCTCAGTCTGTGGGGTGATAGTACAGCAAGTTGGTTCTTGAGCCATATGCATGGACCTTTGAGTGTTACCTCTTATGTGTAGGTTTTATTCAGCTACCCTTGCTTCCTCCCACATAAAAGACAAAAAAGAATGGACTATACATCGCGAATATATACATAATCCTTCTGAGAAAGCGTTTTGATTCTCAATGAGGCTTTTATTGATAAATAACAATATTTTTGTATTCAATATAGTGCTGATCTGGCCAAATTGTGCTGATTAGAGAACTGGGCTCACAATTTTAAGTTAAGAGTTAGAACCTATTCATATTCTTAGTTCTTTCAGTAAAGTCACGTTTTATATATTTTATTATTTTGTTGTTTCCCTTCAACGTGACTTTACCGAAAGAACTAAGAATATGAATTACTGCAGTCACGAAAGCTTTAGATCAAAAGTTAGAACCTAATTTGGGGTCAATTCAGCCAATCAACCTTCTTAGGTCTATATCCTTACTTGGTAAAATAAATGTCTTAAGTTTTTATTTAATAGTTTATCCTCTGGAGATATTGGGATATGTTATGGAAACGTTACATTTGCACCACTAAGTCAGGGTCGTCAGCATAGATGAATGCCATCCCATTTCTCATTTGATCAACGAGCCACTTTGATATTTGAATCAGTGATAAGTCAAAATGATTACATCTGTTGCATAGTTGGGGATCATTTTCTACGACAGGATACTTGGTCATTGCTACGTTTCATTTGTAACCTGCGCCATGGCCACATCAATAGAAAAGATAGTTTTGTAAAACCCTGCACGTATCGGGGCGTGCTAGCGGGAGGAATCTTTGCCCGGGAGCAGATAAAATCATTAAATTTAATTTGAGTGCGATCATCTTCTGCAAGGAACAAAACAAAGATGCGCTTCAGCGACCGGGATGAGCTTATGTTCCATGATGGTGAGCGGCACCCAGCTGCGACATGTCCTCCGCACCTGTGAATTTTCGCATTGAGCTGGGGACCGCCAATGCATTAAATCAAGGGCTCTCTCGCACGGGCACACATCAAGTGCATGTTGAACACAACAATTGGGAGGATCATTTGTGAAAAGGATGAGAAAAAAACCATTGAAACAATAATAGTGCCGGCTGGAAAAAAACATATGCAGAAATGTATAAAGAACACAGCCTTTGTGCAATTGCAAAAACGATCAGCATATCCTGACGAACTGCATTGTGGTCCTTTTGTCTTACATCATCACCAAAATTAATATGAACAAATATGACCAGCCGAAAGCATCAGTGATGCAGTAATCGGCAACGTGAACCATTTTTTTTATTTTGATGGTGATCTAAGACCAAAGGACCCACAGTGCAGTTTCTTAGGAAATACTGGTTTTTACAGTGAGGTAAAAAAGTATTTGATCCCCTGCTGATTTTGTCGTTTGCCCACTGACAAAGAAATGATCAGTCTATAATTTTAATGGTAGGTTTATTTGAACAGTGAGAGACAGAATAACAACAAAAAAAATCCAGAAAAACGCATGTCAAAAATGTTATAAATTGATTTGCATTTTAATGAGGGAAATAAGTATTTGACCCCCTCTCAGAAATATTTCTGGCTCCCAGGTGTCTTTTATACAGGTAACGAGCTGAGATTAGGAGCACACTCTTAAAGGGAGTGCTCCTAACCTCAGCTTGTTACCTGTATAAAAGACACCTGTCCAC